GGGTTCGAGCCCCGGCCGGAACATTGTGTTGTCTAAGGGCAAGACACTTTACTCTCACAGTGCCTCTCTCCACCCAGGTGTTTAAATGAGTACCGGCAATTTAATGCTGGGGGTAACCCTTCGATGGACTGGCATCCCATCCTGGGGAGTAGAAATACTCGTAGTCGTTTCATGCTACAGAAACCGGAGTTAAGCACCGGCCTGATGAGCCACTAGGCTCGTCGTAAACAGACTTTACCTTTTACCTTTAAGACTTTTTCATTAAATTTCACGAGGTTTCCGTATAAATATAAAATGACGCCAACAGTGTTTTGAGTAATCTACGTCACAGTGGGAGTGACCGCTGACCGAAGATAAGTTGGCCGTGATTACGAAAATTAATGGCGGAACGGTTTTCAAATCGTAATTTCTCGCCTTAGAATTGACTTTCAACTAAAACTATTATTGAAAAGGCTTTATTAATCGCTAAAAATTCATATTATAATGAAATAACTGAATTTTTCGGGTTTTCAAATTAAAGGGCGGTTTCGTAAGAGTGCTACTTTAAGCCTGATTCCTGGCACTTGGTCGCCTGAATCGTCCCAATCGCCCAGAAAACGTGCGTGAACGAGATGATCCAGATTGTAACATGGGAATCAGCCCTAAATCTAACCGCATATTTATTCTAATGTTTATCCACAAAAAAGTTCAATTAATGAAAATCGTAAACGGTAGCGTTCAATTTCAAACTGAATTAGTCTGAGGTCCATTTCTGTTTCTTTTTCTTTTTTTTTACTGCACTAATACAACTTTGTCCAGATTTTCTAGAGTCTCTAAAATATTATCCCTCATCCAGTGACACTCATCCACTTCGTTTCTTGAAATATCTAGTTTACGATGAATTACTCAAGAAACGAAGTATTTTGTCATTAGAGATATCTTTTATTAAAAATCTGAAATGAAAAGAGTGACAGAAATGCTGTATGAAGATTCCTGTTTGTACTTGTTTCGACCCGGCTAGCCTGACGTGGCCTCCGATCAAAGTTCTGCTGTCTATTGTAGCTGATGTCTTCGCTGACACGTGTAATACGATCTATAACTTCTCCTCGTAGTGAATACCGTTATCTATGACCTCTTAACAATTGGAAATTGGTTGAACCAGATTGCTCTGGAAATACGTATCCATGCAGTTGCTTAGTATAAACAAAAAGTGGTTTAACATCTTCGCAGGAAAATAGAACATTTACAGATTTAAGATCTTTTTTTCTTTACATGTCACAGGTCTCTGTGCGCCATAATTTTTTTTTTTTTTTTGTACGGTGAAAGATTAACTATTTACAAGGTTTATGTTTCTGGCAAATTTCCTCTATTTCTCAAGTCTGAACTATTACGTGTTTCTCCGTTTTCCTCAGTAACGATGATATGGTAGTGCTCGATCGCCAAATGAAAATAAAAAATAATAATGTCAAAGCTGGATCAAAGAAATAGTAAGTTTAGTTTCTAAAAGTGTGCAAACATAAGGCCAGTCTAAATTTAATAAACTAAGACAATGTCCAACAAGTGGGGGCCTCTTTCTTTACTTCGAGAAATGGATCGAAGGAATTCAACTGCTGCGCTTGCGTGCATAACTTTGTAGACCAGCAATTTTTCATGGAACGTTTTCATTTCTCTTTTGCCAGAATTGAGAAAGGATCAGGCACATCAGTAGTACTGTTTATCACAATGGCTCTTCGCTGGGAGTTTAGGCCCTGTTGTCCATAATGGTTCGTCTGTGAATGGCGACGTTTCTTTCGCTCATGACCAGATTGATGATCATCTGCAGTCACGAGATAATTTGCGTGGTATTGTGCATATTCAGGGGGAAGTGAAACAACTGCTGACCAAGAATTTTGAATCACTGGTGATTTATGGGGTGACATTTGTGGGATGTTTTTCCAGCCAGAGAATTCCTTTGGTGGTCTAAGCTCGACCGGTGAACCACAATGTGCTGAAGAACCTGGGTAAGATATACGATAAGTCGCGATTAGAGTCATTTCAAATTAAACATCGAAAGTTATCCGGGATTGCTTCGGTTTTATTTAGCTTTGCTCTGCGATTGGTCCAGAAAACTTGTATCATCTCCTCAACCAATCAAGTGTACAAAAAACTATCGAAACTTGGTTATTCGCCAGCTTTCCTGCGCTTCAAGAAGTCCGCTTGTTTTCGCTTTGAGTTCTCATTGGCTAAAGCTAATGTTAAGCTTTGGTCTGATTGGTAGCTGGGATTACTATGGTATTGGTTTTTCTACACTCGATTGAAAGCTGCTCTAGTATAGACATGGTTTGATGTTACTCTGGTTTAAAGACTTAATTAATTAATGTAACCGGGAAGTTACAATTCACATACCCAACGTTTCGGTACTCCTGTCTAGTGCTTTTATCAGGGCTGACCTAGGCACTAGATGAAGGCATGAGACAGGAGTGTCGAAACATTGGGTCTATCAATTGTAACTTCTCGGTTACATTCATTAAATCTTTAACCAGAGTAGCATCAAACCATGTCTGATTGTCCACTGGTTGCTATTGGGAACTTTAATATATGCTCTAGTATAGTTTTGCATTGGATTGGTTGACATGATGAGGCAGTGTTTTTGAACAAATCAATGAACGGTAAATAGATCAAAACAAGACAAATTTTCAGTCTTCAGATGCCCTTGATTGTAATTTACCTTAAGGGTTTTTCTGATTAGTAATACGTACTTGCGCCATAAACCTCTAAACTGATATCGGTGATCTTGAGTGGTATACCCATGTACTGTGGGTATGTATCTTCGTACCACACCAGTAGTTCTGAGCCTGCAGGAATGTCTGCAAATGCTCTGTAATAAATCTCTTTGTTATATTGAAACGCGTAAAGGTTCTGTTCCTCTTTGTGACGAGCGCATCTTATAAAACGCATCCAACTAGACGTGTTTTCGTCTCTACCGTCCACATAATGAAGCAGTTTACCATTTTCGTATATCTGAAAAAAAAATTGTTAGATTGAAGACTCAAGATGTTTCCAGATCGTCTACCCATGGGCGCGTGCACTCTGCGTCCAAAGAGGAGGTCTGGGAGCTGCACTTACTAGGGGAACACTGACGATCTTAGGGTTAGTTTCGGTCAACGAGGGACCTCAGTGTTTTTTCTTACTATAGAGCTGGAATTCTTTAAAATGGCACAACAAGACCAGAAAACGTGTCGAGGTTACCCCATGTCCTTTGAGCGTTTCTCAAGAGTTAAGAAATCAGAATCAATTGTTATCGCAGAATTCCCGCCAGTATCCCGAATTTAGCCGCTGACATCCGTCAGTTTACTTTTATAACAGAAAATAGTTGATATTTGGTTTGAGTTCACCACGTTCTATGACTGGCTTGGTTGCATGCCATTTCCCGCACTAAGCGCTGAGTGTTGTATGTACATCAAGTTGTCAATGCTAGATGTTGATTGGCCAACTTGAATTTAAGTACCGATTTGATATTACGATGGCATTACGGTATTACGAAGAAGTAAAACTCCCTTACCTCCCACATGTATGAGGTATCCGTGGCGGCGGTGACTTCTTTAGGTTTTACAATATTGCCTTGATATGGACCCATCCAAGTTCCTTCTGGGATAATTTGCTTTGTGCGGATTCCTAATTGAAAACCAGTGGTTGATGGACAAAGATCGAGTTCATCCGGGCAAGATGATTTTGCAAACGTCGGTTTTTCGCTATTTTTCTTTTTCGTTGTTATTTTAGACGTTGACACTGAACCTTTAAAGGTACAAAATGAAATAAAATGAATTTGGAAAATTATTCGTAATGAGCAGACCAGTTTGGTATAATCTCAAATAAATGCGTGCCGACAAGAATTCCTGAAAGAAGAATCAAAGGTTGGTGGGAATAGAGTCAGACAGATGGTAAATTTTGAGCTTGATAAGCGAACAAAGAAATATCTTTTTCCTTTTGTCAAGAACGTGGAACAAAAAAATTCTGAAACTTCTTTGCACCCCAAGAAGAATCCTTCTTTATACCGCGACCTACATTTAAAACTCAGATGATTTCTGTGTCACGTGCTCGAGACGAAACGGAGAACATCTTCCTTTGAAAGTCAGTTTGTTTTTATCAAGAGTATCCGATGATGTAAAAATTTAAAAGTACGTTTGGGTAAAGGGCAGCCTGATTGAACTTCTTCATAGTGGCGTTTAATTATTTGAAAACCTTAGTGGAATCAAAATACACATCATACTTGGTCCCAGTCTCATATGCTGCGAGGATCCATAGTACCAAAAGGCATAGAAACGATGCTAACTTTGAGCTCAGTTTTCGAATGAATAAAGATGATTTGAAACATTTGTATCAACCTAAGCTTAGCTAGAGGAAAAAAAAACACACTTTTGTTATCAACATCTTCACTATTGATGAGCTGCATCTATTGAAATCCTCACGCTATATCAATTATATTGTCTTGGTTTCAAGGTGAATGCTAGATATACATCATACTCTCAGACTACGTGACCTGAAGATAAGATAAGATTCATTGTCACTAGGCAACAGAAATACTACATGCACATCCTAAAATATCTTTAGCCAGTTTTAAGAATGCTTTACCTTTTCGCCCCGGTGCACTTGTCACTTTCCCTGCAGTTGCTTGACTGGTTGATTCTTCATTACGTTGATACAAACATTTGTATAAATTTTCATACGTGAACGAAAATGGCTCGCATCTTGAAGAAACTGATGGATTGACATCGTGATTAACAAACTGTGAGAAACGCGGTCTTGTGTTCGCCATTGTGACCGCTGTAAATACTGCTCCAAACTGAAAATAAAAAAAATTGTGAGTACAATACTGATGTCATTATGCCAAAAGGCACCAATCTCGAATTTCTATTAAACGTTTTCTAACGCCTTTTGTCGGCATGGAGAGTTTTTCTCGAATTAAGCGGTTCTGCTCGCCGAATTAAAGAGAAAGTCTAAAACTTTTGCAACAGGGCAAAGGCTAAAGTCTCCAAATTGACAACGTTATCAACTTTATCTCAAGGGCCTAATGTAAAGTTCCTTTGCTAATGGATTATAATCGACCTTGCCCGGTTAGATAGTACGTGCCAGTTGCTAAACCTCTATACGTATTCATGTTCTTAAAACCGCTCTGATTGAAATGTCTGGAGGGTAAGACTTGAGCGTACAGAAAGAAAGGTACAGATTCCATAGTCTGCGTCGGAGAGCAGTTCGTCTGCAGCCATTATATAGTAAACCACAGAAATCTTTTAATTATACATAAGTGTGACACTGGTTAGAACATTTTCTCTTGAATTTACCGCTCGTTGTTGTAAACTGAGTACGAAAGTGTCAAGATGACAGAGTTGTTCCAAATGTCTGGCTATTTAATATTCTGTTAGTAAGAAATGTTTAACGTGTCAAAAAACGAAACAAAACTAAAAAAAAACTTACGACTAGGCTTGTTAAATTTGAGTACAAGGTGAAAGAAGATTAGAAGTACCGATGGCATTAAAATTGCTTGTTATGTATATTTCTTGCATAACGAGGATGTGTTTGCTCTGACGGGGGCCAAGGGCCGGCACTGTATATGGCTGAAATCACGTTCGGTTCTCTGATATCGTACAAAGATGATCAGATTAGATGTCGATTTAAAGGAGATATTGCTCACTACTAAAATTTTCACTGAGAACCATTGTAGTTACAAGAAAGAATTATCTAGAACAGTTAAATTCGTGATGAGCAAAGAATGAAAACCGTTCAGTTATACAGAAAAATACTATCGCTATAACACAATATGTTTGTGACAAATATAAGAAGCCAATATCCTTCATCGAGCTAAATGTACTGCGTAGCTGGAGAACGCTTTGAAGCAATATTACTAAATATTGTAGTTTAACAATTCAGAATTATTGTCATTTGAGATGTGCATTTTCATAATTACTTACCGTCGTATTCTGTGGATTGTGAAAGTAATTCTGGCAGGTTTTCGAAGTTTGTAGACTTTTGCTGGTGCGATTAAGAAGTTGTTTATATGTTTTCAAGATCAAAGTCGATTGGCTTCGCGTCGTTTCACCACAAAACAAAACCTTCATCAGTCACACATCGTCAATTCGTAGTTTAACTGCCTAAGTATTTGTCGAATTGTAATCCATGCATTGCAAATTAACAATGTGTGGAAAGCTACGTTATGCCTAAGACTTGGGAACCTCACGCTAACAGTTGCTATGGTAAAATGCTTTAGTGTCAGCATGAAAACTGCTAATTCTTTAAGGAAGCGCAAATATCAGCTTACAAAAATTTTTTACCAGAGTAAACTTACGATCTTCGGTGATTTTTTTAAAGCAGATTTTCAAGTTGGTTCCACCAAGAGGTAACGAAAACAATGGAAAAATTATAAATGACGTATTTAGTCTTACCCAGAAGGGTCGGAAGAGATGAACGGAAGTCAGTGACAGTTTAACACAATACGCACCACTGTTCCATGGCTACCTCAGCTACTTCAATAACACGTGCATTATTTTCCAGGTTTTTTCCCACGCAATTAGTGAATTCCGTCGAAAACCTGTTTTATCACAAACTGATTGCGTTTTAGTGACTAAAAAAACTGAATAAAATTGGCAAGCCTTGCTATCGCGTGAGAATGGGGATTGACGCAGACAGAAAAAAAATTAATGTAAATGCTGTTAAAAATTCACTTACCGTGTGGTTTGTCAAAAATGCAGAATATTTGAATAACCCAAAACATATAAATTGAATTAAAGAGAGTTCTGCTATATTCATGACAATTTCATTAGTAAGTTTGATGACATGGTGCGGGCTACACCTCTTCTAAAATAACAGCTAAAACAAACAATAAAAATACGGTGGTCAGATCATATTATCCAAATTGTTTTAAAATTATCCATGATCGTGTAAAAATCACCTTCTTGTTAAGAGATGACATAAATAGATAAGAAATTTCAGTTGCTATAATGATGAAGGCGCGAATTTGACTGCGTAGTTTACAAAGCTTTAACTTAAGGAAACCGGTTTAAGATGAGCAACGAAAAAAATGTATACGTCGAATTCGTACGTAAAAAAAAATTTAAAGGTGATTTCAAAATGACTGACACATTGATAAAGAAAAAAAAATCCAAAATGTGTTGAAGTTATATTTGTTTTCCAGTGACAAATTATGTTCTGTTATTCGAAATTAATGTTTAACATTGACACAACCTTTACTAAACAATACTCTGATGATTCTATCTTGTATCATAAATGCAAAAACAAATAACAAGCAGCTCAGAGTTTTTTTTTTTTTTTTTAAGCCACGCTTGTCACAAATCGTAGTTCCTGGCTATCAGTATTTGTTTTTGAAACCGTTAGGAAGTTTCCCTTGTGAACCAAGTGAATGATAAGAATTTTAAAAGTTGCTTCTTGAAGGCACAAATGTATACGACCCAGCGTTTGTCAAACACATTTGACCCTTCCTTCGTCGCTTTTGAGATCCTCTATTACTCATTTACATGTAACAGACCCGAATGTGTGAATACAGCTTTCTACAGCTTTACATTTTAATCAAAGAAACAATGTTTGTTTGTTTCTGAAATTAATTTCAATGTAAGAAAACATACATAAGAAAACTAAATACATAGCTCAGCTTGAGTGTAATTTTAAGTAGCCTAGTGCGTGTCTAGTGCTATTGCCTTATTCTTACTCACCGAAATATTTCTTGTGGCATTTATCCATGTAAACGATATTCTGTTTTCTGCCGAGCTTGGGTATGGACATGTATATCCCTGGAGTAATATGTAAATGACGCCGGATTTCGAAAGATATCAATCATTTATCTCTCTCGTAAATTGAACAATGACCCGTACTTAAAACTTTAACCCTGTTCTATGTTCCGGTGGTCGGCACTTCCGGTGCACTAACTTTCCCGCGATGCTTGGAGTTCAAGTGTATGTCACTGATAACCTTGTCGGCCTCAGTGAAAGGCCTCTCGGCAAAATTTCTAACGTTTTAAGCTGATTTTGTTCATTTTGCAGGTAACTTGTTTTTTCCTACGCGGAACTGGCAAGAGCAAGCGTTCTACTCAATATTTGAATAACTTAAAATAAATTTTATAAACGACTCGATAGCAGCAGGTATTAGGGTATTGACGTCATATTCTTTATGTAGGTTCTTAAAACAATGTCGGAAGTTTCAAAAGACATAATATCAGCGCCTTACTCGAAACAGTGGCTATGACGTCAATTATTTCGCAACATTTGACACGCTTGGGCGATCACCCCACGGAGTTTAGAACACAACGATTTCGAAATTACTTCGCCTCTGCACATCTTCCTGTTAATTTAAAACGAGTACAAAAATTTTCTTTATCTAAGCAACTTGCCTCAGACTTTCTTGTTTTCAAGAGTATGCGAGTTCAGATTGGAATATTTTCAAGTTTTGGAAGTTAACTCAAACTGTACGTGATCTGTAGCGGCCACTACCTGTGGCTCTATAGAATTTTAGGTAAGTACATTCACTTTTTTTGTTAAAAAAAAAAAAAATGTATGCTCGAAGAAATAATGTTTTTAAGAAAACAGAATATCACCTACCGAGTGTCAAACACTTACTGTCAATAGATGCTGCCAAACAACAAAGTCCTTCCGATTACTTGGTTAATTTTTGATATGGGAAACTTTTTTTTGGCATGCTAGGACGTATATCGGGACCTTTTTTTCAAGTGAGGACATTGTTATATTATCATTGTAGCGATATTTGCACGATTTTGCAACAATTTATCTCGTTAGTCATGCAAATGAAGCTTTCTGTTATTTTTTTAAAAAAAAAACTTCCCGCCTTGCGAAGGTCAACTAAAAAATACGAATAGCAATTAATTCTGCTTTTTCGTTAAGGCAGATTTTACGTTCGTTGTAGTTCGTGTGAAAAGTTAACGATATTTTCTGATCGGAATAATGACTCTTTAAATGTTTCGGACCAGACAGTAAGATCGTTTGAGATACCTGAGTCACAAAACTAAGAGAGTGAAATAATGAAAAATGGGATAAGCGCCGCGCTGAGATCGAAGTCGAACCATTTTAGCAGTCAATTGGCTCTGGTAAACGAGGATGGAATTTAGATTGAGGGCGTTATCCATTTGTCAGGTCTCAGTGCCGATTTTTTAAAAAAAATAAATTTTTTTCATGGTTAATGGAAGCCAAAAATTCACTCTTGGCGTTTACACATGTTAAAATCCGTTGTACGTATTTTGTTTTTATGGAAAAGCATTAGAATTCAATTTTCACACCAATATTAGAAGCTCATAACCACCGCGAATTTCGCGAGCAGTCTTTGCAAGAGCGAGGAAACTGACTGACCCTACCCCACTCACTGGGTTAGTTTGGCTAAAGCCAATCGATGGAAAGAACGGGACGAATTGATTGCAAGTTTTGGCAAATGGAAACCTGGCATCAGATTGAGGATTGTGCGGCCATGAAGCGCAAACGAGAAAAATTTGACGAGTTTAGCTGTGCATATTGGCAGCTAATGTGGCTCGAAATTTGTCTTAATCTGGTTAGATCTCCTGAGTAAGAAGTTCTAAGCGATAGGAATACAGTCACCTCACTTTCTCTTGGTTCGGATCTTGTTCTGGATCAAATCCATGGCAGAGCGGCTCTACTATTCAACTAACTGAACTTTCCATCGGTTCACAGGCAGGAATAATAACCCACAGCGAACGATGGAAGAACGGTTTTTGGCGTGTTTTCCCAATATCCAATTTCCGACGATAAAGCCATAAAGATTGAATCTTTCGCTTTTCTTTTCTTTTCTTTTCTGTTGCAGTACAGTCAATCCAAGTTAGAATTTTTAGTTTCCTATGAGTTTACCTTAACTGTGGAAAGTAGAGTTTTAACTAATTCACCTCCTGTGGTTTGTGACTAAATATAGGACGACCCTTCCCAACTCATCAGATCATCTGCTGAAAGAATGCCGGCCCTCAAAAGATGTTAAGTCCTTTTAGCAATGGCTCGAGTGCCAGCGACCTGCGAACGTGATTTCCGTTTCTCATAGCCCGCATAGCTTGCGGTTTTGTCTACCCTTTTATGCATTGAGCGGTGGAGTATCGAGAGGTTTGCGATGGAGTAAAATGACAGCTCAAAGTTCCATAGACTGTCAGCTCGGTTTTTTTTTTTTTTTTTTAATTTCCTGAAGCTCCCAAAAACAAATACGGCCAACTATGTTTGCTAAGAGTTCAACGCCAGTGCTGGTGCTTGGCTTTCTTCCAACTGCTGTTGACCCACTTCTCTTAATCCTCCCCCTACTCAATTGCGGCTGCGCATGAAACACCATTTTCGTGCGTACCCGTTTTGATATCTCACTGGTGGCTGCATATGTACTGGTGTGCTCGAGCGAACTGTTCGAGCAATCCAATGAAGCGAATTCATTTAGTCGTTGACTCGGCCATGCCATGCCAGCTTGTCAGTCTCATGGAATTTTAAATAACTACAAAGATGTCGTGTTTGCCTCAACACCATACACCCTTTTTCTGCTAACGCCTCGTTTCAGGTCAGGAAAACACAAAGATAAATTACATTGGGTAGTGCCTCAACTGCGGTGGGAGCTTTATTAGCATCAGAGCTAAAAAAAAGTGGACAGTGATAAGCAAAAAGAGATGTGATGATGAGGTCACGGGTTTGACTTTATCGTTCTCAAACGTGACGATCCCCTTGTTTCCTTTCAGGTTTCGACATCATTGCCTTTCATGGTGCTTTGCTTTCTTCATGTACTGATAATCGTGATTATTACTATTATTTGAATCATTTATGGTTTCCTGATCCTCACAAGGAATGGTTTTTTCACACAGAACCCCGTGGCTGGTCTGCTCATACTTGCTTCTAATTGCTCCACCCCATCAAGTGTAGCGCTCAAACGCTATTTCAAAGCCTGAATTGTGTACACGCACAAAGAATACGTTTGTATACGACCTTAATTTTTTACTTTATCATTTGTTTTGTGTTCATCTTTTAAGTGTCCGGCTCTAACACACCGACAAACACCAAACTCCACCAAGTGAAACTAAAGTTTGCGGTTACGTAATAATTTCCGGGTTATCAAAACAGAAAAAGGATTTATCTCTAAGCTTTTGGGTATGACACCACTTGAAGCTTTTCATTTCTGGACGAATTAGTTTACTTAATACACTTAGTACGCTGAAACTGCAGTGATATATGAATTTTCATGTACTTTTTCATAACAGAAGGTTTGACATAGCAATTTTCCCTGCATTGATCCAAAAAAACAATTTATCACATAAAAAGGAAAAGTTCGCAAAAATATAACGAGTATATAGTTGCATGAAAAGAAGTGCCTAATTTACTTAATGACCAAAAGCAATTAATTTTTAAACCTTTTTTTCAAAATTGGTAATATTTATAGCCATCTAAAACTTTTTTTTCTTTTGACCTTGTTAATCTTCTCTAATCCACCCGCTGTGCATTTTCTATTAAACAGATTCACAAAATTTCGATATATTACATATTATCTATTATATTGTATATTACTTCGCAAGAAGGACATTTTACTTATTTCATAAATACCACCTCGCAATATAAATAGGACAGATAGCGAAAAAAAAATTAATAAATGAAATAAACCGCAAAGTGACGCAGAACTATTTTTGTTGAAACCAAATCTGGTGTCATGTCTCAGATTTACCAACTTTTTAAACTCCAACATGAAGTTATAGGTTTCCAGAAGCGAACAACGTGCACGCGACAAGCAATGCATGTAGCAACAAGCTTATTCTGTCACGGTCAAGCACAGTGCACCTTTACCCTCTTTACCACCTTTCAAGAAAACAAATTATCAGGTTGCATGCAGATTATGCGGCAGATCTAGCGCAAGATGTCAGAAATGGCATTGGTGAAATTCAGTACATGCAGCGTTCGCGCTTTTGTAGATCTGACCTGTGCAATGACTCGGCACGGTTACTTTCATATCCTGCTGTAAGGACTGTTTACCATATAACCCTACGACTGGCTGTTAATATGTTAGTTCAAGGGGAAATCGTGACAGCTCACTTCTTCCAAGCGAAGGACGCACAGAACGCGCTGTGTAAATATTGACAAGACACCCTTATCAGCGAAAATGGAATGGAGTTTTTGATGACTTTTGAAATTTGAAGTTAGCGGACAGACCGAGCGCTAGGAATTGGAAGTTTTATCTTCACAAAATTATATCGCGAAATCTAATTAACAAAGCGACATTTAAATAATGGTCGTCTGGAGTTATCAATTTTCCATCATTTAATTTTTATGATTGGTAATGTCGGCAAATCCAGATCGCCATACCAAACAAGCCTGCACGCAAACAGGACTGCCGCGGCTAAGAGCTCTAAAGAATCCCTTACCTTTAGAACTGAAGTCCCTAAGTCATGATCTATATTGTAATGGCGGTGTTTGGCCTTTAAAGACTTCCCAGTCTCATAACAGTGTTATTCTAATTCAGCATGGTGAGGGACGCGTATACACAACCTATTATGTCGCAGACATGTCGGAATAACATATCAGCCCCCATATCAAACGTGCGATACGAGATTTGGCAGTGTCCCAAGCTGTCAAAAACTTTTGACGTTTACCCAGAATGATTGACACATACCCGACCGAGGTTCAGAGAAAAACGCGAGTGAAAGAACATGCCGCTCACTGTTCCAAGCCAAATGTTTGTTGTGATTATCAAGTGACAAGGCCCTCAGTTTGGCAGAACCAACTAAGCCTGTTTTGAGTGGCCAAACTGAACACCAGACCGTTCTTAAATTGGGTCTTTGATGCAAGAAATTGCGCTTTGAAAAACTGGCGTCCTGGAAAAGATAAGGTTTGTATGTGCCATTTAGTAATAAGTGTGTAATGTTTGCGTGAGTAATGCTGTAACTAATTCGCGACAGACTTACACTATTAGAATGTTATCAAAACTTTGACACACACATGCATCTTAATACTGTCTCTTTTATCTTTTTGCCATCACATGTTTTTTCCTTTGTTGAGACCTAAGAAGTGCCCGATTCAAACCAGTCTTTGTGGAGTATTCGACTATAAATTTGATGCTAAATTCATTTCAATTCTTATTGTTTTTCCCTTTTTGTCGAAACAGATTTTCTAGTAACTACTGAGTATTCAGAAGTTTCAATGTGATAAACAGCCCGGGCGTATTCTTTACATTTCTGCCTTTTTTTGCCTTGAGCCTATCCATATCAGTGCAGCAAAGAGGCACTACCCTGCGATAAAAGAGCGTTCTACATCGATCGGTTCTAATCCTCTTCTGCTCTAAAACGGTTTTCACTTCCGCGCGTCCATCCAATTACGATATTTGACATAATGTTTTATTTTCTGACACGCATGCAAACAAGAGTACAAAACTTTTTTCAAAAACTTTCACGAACTTCTTAGTTCTAAAGATTATACTCTCAGCCTGGATGCTATATCTTGCGACATATCATGCATTTTTTCTGTAATCGTTGAGTGGTTAGTTTCAGCCGCGGAAAGTTTATACTGTAAACAGTTATTACATTGTGGCTTGCGAGTTTTTCACTGTGCCTTGCTCATCAGCACCTCGTGGGGCGGGACCTAACCTATCGCATTGAAGCCAAATTCCTTCTCGTACTCTCAACTGATATAGATATCTAAAAAAAAGATTAACTTTTAACTCTTCAATGTAAGTAAAGCCATCTCTGTTTGTCTATAAAAGGGTGTTCTTGTGTTATCTGCGGGAGTTTATTCACCAATTAATCTGGCGTAAAACATTTAAGAAAGGAATGTTTCTCTGCGCATATAAGAAGTCTTTAGAAATATTGTTCTAAGCTCCTATTGTTTCTTTGAAATTGCCGACACAGCCGGATCTCGCGCGCAGTTTGGCAGGTATAAAAAAACAAAAGTTTTTCATCGAGTCTCCATGCGGAAATATCAATAAATTGAATAAAGGTAAACTAAAGCGGATGATTCTCTCAATGGCCATTTTTAGTTGCTCATCAGCCTACTCGTAGATTTCGGTATTTATTCGGACTAAATTCCAACATTTTCGTTCCGGGGTATTAATAGCAAGGCTTTAAAGATAACAAATCTTTATTTGCTTGTGACAGAACTTTTAAATCTATCTGAAATACGAAGCCGTCCTTTTGTTAAATACCTGCTTAATCATATGATAGAGGAAGTTCTTAAACTTTATCTCATTCATGCCCTCTAGCTAGCATTTTTGCCGCAAAATTGCTTGGTATTTCAACATCAATGCATAATTGATTTCAAAGTCGCTTTATTAAGACAATCAAACCTTGTCCGCTTTTCAACAAATGACAAAAAAAAACTATGACACTTTCACTTTTGGCATCTGAGAAGACACAAATTATTCAGTACCGACCCATTGTGTTCAAATGTGTTAAGGAAGTCGCTTCTCATTGCGGCAAGTCTTTGAACTTATCTTCCAGCGGATTGCCATTCCCCTGGGTTCAGTTTTCCTTGGAAAATACGACCCTTATCAAATTGTCCAATTTCCGGCTGAAACAACAAACTTGGCAGTTAATCAACTCATCTCATGAGTCTGAACTTTTTTGGTCTTGAAACGCGACTTTTGTCATTCAAAATAGAGTGACGTAACATCTGGAGAGATCAATATTTCAACCATCCAGTAAGATTAGAAATAAAGAACTGTCCTGCATAGTAGGCAAGAAAAATTCGAGTCCTGTGAGATTCATTGACGCATCTTCTGCAGTAGGAACGAATCTAACACTTGGTAGGTTTTCTCTTAAACTGATTTTTTTATAGGAATTATTGATGATGGTAACTGGTTTTTACAAAAAAAAAATCGGGTATTCGAGTGAAAGTGTCGTTACAAGAAACTCCTTAAAGGTTTAAATTGAATTTTGGTAGAAAAGCATAAGTTCTAGATTGTACAGCGTCAAGTTCCACGCTGGACTTAACATGCTAGTCACTTTGAAAGGTTTTGTGAATGTTATCACAAACATACGTACAGCTTTCATTTAATAGGATGACCACACATGAGGGCTTCATTAGGGGCCTGGCTTACAAACTCATGGAATTTGTCAGACATAGACTGGAAAATCGCTGAAGTTCCTCTGGTTATAACATTAAATTGTAAAAAAATGAATCGTGTAACAGCCCCTCTCAATTTTAAAGTGGTGCGATCTAAATCGAAAGCAATACTTACTAAACTAACTTCTATGTAAGTTCAAGAACGTTGCTGTTTACCCTGAGCGTTTCATTCATTATCGTGGATTTTTAACTTATTACGCCCGTGATTGTTGCGTAAGGTGGCAATTCATTGAGAAATAATACTTTTATTTTTGACGTTTTTGTCGCGATTTTTTGTGGTTTGCTTATATAGCGCCAAAAAAATACATTTTGTTTAACTGTCCTTTATTTTGTCTCCCAAAGAGACTAACCTCGTCACTACAGCTTATCTTGATTGTTTTGTTACTGACTGATAGATGTTATCTACGTTAGCGTCGCTTCAGACAGGATTACGACAGCGATAGATACAAGATAGAGAGACTCGAAAAACATAGATGACTTGAGCACATCGACTCTCTGACGGCTACAACTAAATTTAAGCAGCATAGTGTTTACTACGACCTCTTCCGTTAGCAACAGTTATCTGTTTGACAAAGCTTTAATTGATAGTGAGAATTTGTGAGTTATGTGTTTTATTTTCTTATTACAGATAAGCAGGGAATTTGATTTTATCATTATTTTTCATGTTACATTGAAAAAATGCCATTCTCTACTGTTACAACTTCTTTGTTTTAGTTTTCCGAAGCATATTCGCACGAAAATGGCGCGAAACGGGATGGCGTTCACAGCTCATTTTCCCGCCAGTCAAGCATCTCTGCAAAACACTGCACCGCACAATTCCAAGCATTTTACATTTACTTACGACGACTTATACAACTGTTTATATCGCCACAACGAGCTGCAACTCATCGATATTGAAGCATTCAAAGCACAAAGAAAATCAAGTCAAACAGAGGCGGAAAAACAAAAGGAAACGTCAAGTAAGTGAACAAAGCAAACCGTTTTAATCTTCGTTATATTGCGTGCCATATTATAAAAGTCATGTATTACTTAATAACGATATTAGCTCGAATTCAACCTTGCATCCGGTAAATTTGTCTTGCATTAATCTTATTGCTGCTGTCAATTTGTAATCCAAAGGCCTTTTGCAAGTTAATCTCTCTGTGCATTTTTGTGTCATAGAAACAAGCTGTGGAGAAGTAGCATAAGAAAAGAACATCGACAGCTTGCGTTCAAGAAAGGGAGGGATATTCTTAACCGCAAAAGTAAAACATTTGTTATTTTTTCAAAACCCATTTTTCCGGTTTCAACCGAAAGGGAAGTGAGTTGTGAGTATTTGCTAGTTACAGGGGAAGACCCCCTGAAGTAGAATGTTATGATTACACAAATACCGCATTGAACACGAGAAACTAGAACATTCGAAGGAAAAAAAACCGTTTTCTTATAAAATAGACTTTGTTTGTTGTGGTGATAAAAATAGTACTTGTTAATCTTTATTCTGCCGCCAGACATACCATGGTGAAAGCGGTTTTTGTCCATTGTAGACAACAGTGTAGCTAAAACAGAAATTGTAATTACTTCCTTCTTTATAGAAAGGATCTTCTTAAAAGCGAAAATCCAAAATTGGACAGATTTTCTTTAATAGATTTCCAAAGTCTGCTCTTGTTTGCTTCGCCCGCCCAACTGGACGAATAAATCGCCCGTGAAGCTCGCTTGAACCGATCTACCACTTAAGGTCACGACATTTCCGGCAAGCGGAAACTTCGGCAAATTTTGTTTTATCATCATTGCATTGAAAATCCCCACGATGCAAGATTTGGTGGGCGGAGCTATTATGGCGCGCGAGCACACGCAGATGACAGAACGCTTTGTTGAAATTTTTAACATTTTTCAATTACGTGTCTGGAGATAACTCTCCGTATCCAATGTCGGAAGAAATTTTTAAGCTTTGCCAATGTCGGCACCTTTGAAACTGAATTAGTATCTATCGTTAACAGCGTTCTCTTGATTTCTAAGTGAATAATTCTTGCAATTACCCTGATTATGAAAATAACCTGAACAACTGCTCTTCGAAAAGAAAGGTAAAAAAAAAAAAGGAAAAGAAAGGTAAGACTGAGGAGAGGTATTCACCAGCAATATTTACGACCTCACGCTGGGAGCTCTATTTTAGAATTGAACTGTTACTACATTCTCATCCGTTTTGTCTCTTCTTTTTCTTTAGCTTTGTAAAGGTAACTCCCTGACAAAATGTCACTCTCGTAGTTCCTTCAACAAAGCGTCTTTTCCCTTTAAACTGAATGAACAAATCTTAAGAAATGGTTCCGAACTGCGTCAAAAGCTTCCTTCGTGTAAAGCTCCACGATTCTCCCTTTTTGTCCCGGTCTGCGTGCGTTTGCACTGTTTGAAAATTATCGGGACAAGTAATATTGAAGACAAGAATTTTTCTGTGAACTTCGATGTTTGACTCAAACGACACAGAACAGCCTTTTCGTGAGCACTACCATATGTTCTATGAGAATGCTGAAACCACGAATGTGACTAGCATGACGTGGATTATGGCATAAAAATGATTAGTCTCGTGTTTGTACCGTGGACCTAGTTTTTTATGGAGAACTTACCTTGAGTACAACTATTTTTCTGCTGAACTTTGTGCCATTTTCGTTCGGTGAGATTCTGTTACAAAACGGAAAGGGTGGTGGAATCCATTTTTTAAGGGATCAGAGGTCAATTTTTTCTGGCACTTTCTGACGTCGTGTTTTGATGATTATAACATTTTAATCAGGAAAAAAGCGTTTCCACCTGATCAGACTAAACACGTGTAGTTAAGACTGTAAACATATGTTGACCAAAGGTAACTTGTGCGGAATGTGGGCTAATGCATATTTATTTTTCTTTTAATCATTATGTTTTAAAAGGTGTTGATTAGAATGACTTGCGCCAAAACTTTCTCGTCTTACCTGACTTAAATTCACTCTCCTCGACAGTACTTTTTTTGTGTTGTGAGTTTGGATTAGCTCCAACAGGTTTGTTTGTCTGCCAAAAGAAACCACGTCCGAGATAAGCGAGGGTGGGAGAGAGGGGGTGACTCCGTACCCAAGGGGTGGGGAGATTTTGCTACCAATACAAACGCTGCTTGTACAATAATGAAAGATACCTCTTTTTACTGCCGTAAAATCAGATGATAATTTTTCATTTTTGAATTCTCAGACTGTGATGCGTGTCGTTCAAAGCAAGACGTATGCCCAATGCATAAAGTTCCAAATTCTGGGAGGAAACTTCTTATTCCAGGACAGAAACAACCAGTCAAATTAAGTTACGCCATTGCGTCCTTTCCTGAGGAAGTGCAGCTCTGTGTGTCGAGTATTCCTGGGGCAGGTTGTGGGGTCTGCGCAAAGCAACATATTCCTGTAGGCACGTGGATTGGACCATATGAGGGAAAACTCGTCAAATATGATGACGTCAAACCCAACACAGACACCTCTTACATGTGGGAGGTAAGTCACCTATTTTGGAACAAAAAAGAAAGTCAAAATCTAAGTACCCAAAGAAGTATTTAATTTGAGAATGAACACCTCATTACCAAATCTTGACTGAAGTGTTATTTATTTCGACCCCCAGGTCCACTTCACTCGTGCTTTTTTTTTTTTTTTTTTTTTTTTTTTTTTTTTTTTTTTTTTTTTATCTTGCTGCCATACATGTATTGTTTGGTTTAGTTACAGAGTCATAACTTCTTTATTTTTGCACTGACCATTTGTAGATTTACCAAGATGGCAAGTTATCCCATTACTTGGATGCTAGCGACGAAAACACCTCGAGTTGGATGCGATTTATCCATTGCGCGCGATACAGGGAAGAGCAGAACCTTTTCTCGTTTCAGTACTGCGGAAATATCTATTATCGGGCTTTTAGAGAGATATCCATAGGGACGGAACTTCTCGTGTGGTACGATGAAAAATATCCCCAGGATATGGGAATACCACTGGAAGTCCAAGATATGGCATTAGTGGACCCCAACGGTATGTCATAACAATGACGAAGCGACTTAGTTTAGGTAATTGAAAAAATATTACTCTTAAGAGCTCAGTGCTTAAAATACGAGCCAAAAGTGTGAAGTTCTAGGGTCAGTGATCGGCTTGGTGTGATTCCTTTCATATGACAGATTTTATCTTCTCAAAGGGAATTTAAAACTGTAAATGGCAAACACCAATCATTTATCATTCCGAAGAAGGTCTTCTCACTCTCATTGTGCCCTCGAATTAAAGGGGAGCCCAATCTGCTTAAACGTAATTTTGCTTTAAATCATTTCATCAGATCGCTTGTCCTCCTTTTGCTTATTAAATGGTATTCACAGACTTCACCGTCCTTTTGTCTAGGTACCAGACTGCTTCAAGAGGTATTAGCAGCACAAGGTCAAGCGCAACCCTCAGATCGACCGATCAACACCAGGAAACATTCTGTGCCTGTAGTTTCAAGTCAGCCAACAGTCGTCTCGAGTACTCCTACGATGACATCTTCCCGAAAATCACCCCTCCCTGTCTCACGTGATAACATGAAAGAGAGAACCTCACCTACGTCACCAAATGACACTCGTATTTCATGGCACCACAAGGTTGCAAATCCTGCTATTTCTCACCTCAACATACCCATAGGGAACAATTTCGTTCAGGCTGAGCGGTCAAGAAAAGTGGACCCGGTCACTTTAAAAGAAGAAAGGGTTGTTATTGAGGATTGCGATGACGACAGAAGGTTCAGTTTAGCTGAAGGATCAGAAATGAGCCTTATGAAATGCGGTCAATGTAGTCAGTCATTCGCACAGAAGAACATGCTCCAGGTTCATGTATGTCCACGCATGCCCAGGAGACCTTACACTTGTAACTACTGCTCTGAATCTTTCTCTTTACCTAACGAACTGCGCACGCACGTCGTCACTCATGCTAATGATAAGCCATTCAAGTGCGGGTATTGCTCGCGCACATTTGCTGGAGCGACAACGCTGAACAACCATATTAGGACACACACAGGAGAGCGACCATTTCTGTGTGATAAATGTGGCAAATCTTTCACGCAGGCATCCCAACTGAGCAAACATCAACGAATTCCTCACGAATGCAAGTACTAGGTCTGCAATTTAGTATTACTGTTATCATTAACATCACATTTTGACATAAGAATTTCATCGCCTACACGACACATATTTTTATTTAGCCTTTTTGACGACAGGATTTTGTCCCCACATTATGAAAACTTTTATCAATATTTCTTGGATTCTTTGAAATAAGATAATTTGATCCTTGGTTACAATATAAGTCGTAACTGGTTTAGTGAGTGTGATAGCTCGCTTGAAATTTTGGCGCATTTTGTAGCAAAATTTATATTCAGCAGGTGCTGGCAAGCGCGACTACACAAAGCTTCAACTGTCCGAGAATGAGACATAATTCAAGCCGACGCGACTACTTCACAGACCGATAGTGGAGTGTTATGATTCTGTATCCGAAATCTGCTTGTTATGTTTTTTATTTGAAAAAAAAAAAAAAAAAAAATCACCACAATGGTCATTTCATAGTTCATTTGATCCGCAACCTATTTACTATCAAATTTCTATTTTCATATCTGACATGGTTTTCTTTACACCACGAAGAATTTTTTATCGCTAAACGATGAACCGCGTATCAAGCGAGGAGTATGAAAAAAATGTAAACAAATGTACATTGAATTGTGTAAATAAATAAATAAATAAATAAAAAGATCCTATCCTAAAAAAAATTTCTTGGTACTTCACTTCTATTTTTCCAAGCCTTGCAGATATTTATTAGCCTCAGCTGAACTCTTGGTCAGTGGAGGAAAGGAAAAAGCGGGCGAGCAAAAAAAAATGACTGGATTGTTCAAAGGAAACATTCCTCCCGTTTCCACTTACCAAAGGAGCCTGGTACAGAAACATATGCTTACTATACAGTAAATGGTATGAACCCGGGGGGTAACATGTGAAAATGTAGTCTGATCGTCCGGGTGAGTGTAGTCCTGAGAAGGACAGTTGTCGGTGGTGGTGACTGACGTTTCGAAAACCTATGTGGAAGTCATCATAAGAGTCAATACGCTTACTCTCTTTACACGCAACATGATTTTACAAACCTCAAAATACTAACAGGCAACGTTCAAATGGGGTTTCTCGCGAGGATAAGCAGTGCAAAGCGTGAACTTGTGGAACCGGATCAAAGAGCCATGTGTAGTTGAGGAGGTAAAGGGGGAGGGCAATCGCTAACATGTTTTTAAATTAGTGAGAGGGAGGTGACAATTTTCGCTTTGAGTCTGGTCCCTCTCAAAGGAAACAACACCCAAAAGACAATTAACGTTGGAAAGGGCTCGAATTAAAACTTTTAACAATCAATCGCGCGTAACATCCACGATTTGTCATCAAGTTTTTCCTGAGTTTTATTTTTCAGTTTTTAACGTAAGCCCTTGTTTTACAATATTTAACTAAAGATAATTTAGTGCAATGCAAAGTGGTCTGAAATGCCACACATTTCGTGATACGATATCAAAGTCCTCGTTTATTTTGGTCACGTGGTAGGAGAAACGGACAGAGTAACTCGAAAGGGCAAGTGCAACCGAGTGGCTTTGGGGACGAGAAAGTATCTGACTCAGGTAAACGTCCTAAACGCTGATTTGAATTCTCGTGATTCGTTTGTTTCTTAGAATTCAAATAAATTTCTTAAATCAACTTAAAATTCTCTGTTATAATTTACCTTTTTCATTCAACTTCAAATATAGTTTACATTAGTCACTTTTACTGAATATAATTTTGTTTAAGTATAACGAGTATAAAAACAAACGAAAAGTGACAATAAATCTTAACTCCAGCTTTTTAACGATAATGTGACAAACATAAGAAAAGAAAAGAAAGAAATAAGAGAAAGGAGAGGAAAGGAAAAGTGCACGTGAAAATGTATGCAAAAGTAAACTAGGCCGTCTTAGTGCCACTCGACATAATAGTTTAAACAGTATTTTAACTTGAATTTCATGATGAACAATTGAACAATCACAACCTAAGGGAGGTGGGGTGGGTTGGCATCATACATATTGAGTCATTTTTTAACCCGCCGGCAGGTTGCTCCTCCCAACCCCTCTCTTTTCCATAAACACCTCCTAAGGTTCATTGACAACTAAAAGAAAAAATAATCATCAACAGGTCTGTAACTTTTGGAGAGATTATATCACATTCTTTGTTTCTACAGACCGTAAAATTTCTTTTCTTAGCAAATAAACAATTGTGACCAAAAATAATTTTAAAATAAAAACTACTTAATACATTTGTTGTAATATTATTGACTGGAGACTTGTCGCTTAAATTTCCAAACTGTGTTACTGCCAATGTCTGCTACATACACAGCACCATCTTTACTTGAAGTGACGTCATGAGGTTGTGAGAAACCCTAAAATTACAAATTGATTCCAAAATAAGTACAAAAGGTTTAGTCGAGTCAGCAAACAAAACAAAAAACAAAACAAAAAATACACAGCCACAACTGCTCTCGTTCCCACCCCCTCTCTTTTCCATAAACACCTCCTAAGGTTCATTGACAACTAAAAGAAAAAATAATCATCAACAGGTCTGTAACTTTTGGAGAGATTATATCACATTCTTTGTTTCTAGAGACCGTAAAATTTCTTTTCTTAGCAAATAAACAATTGTGACCAAAAATAATTTTAAAATAAAAACTACTTAATACATTTGTTGTAATATTATTGACTGGAGACTTGTCGCTTAAATTTCCAAACTGTGTTACTGCCAATGTCTGCTACATACACAGCACCATCTTTACTTGAAGTGACGTCATGAGGTTGTGAGAAACCCTAAAATTACAAATTGATTCCAAAATAAGTACAAAAGGTTTAGTCGAGTCAGCAAACAAAACAAAAAACAAAACAAAAAATACACAGCCACAACTGCTCTCGGTTTGCTATGCACTTAATGATTAGACTGAATGTTTGTCCATTGCAAATTATCCCCACGTAATAAGACCGACCCAACCTTCACAAAGTTGAATTCATATTTTAGCGGAGCTCACAAAGCGCGCGAAGCGTAACGCCATGATTAAGAAAATTTGGTAAACCATCAAGCCGAGAAAATACCGTTCGACAGTCCAATCGCACGAACGCAGTTCTACTTCTAACATGTGTTTGCAGCTATATTGCAAGCACATCCACACACTACACTGCCCCAAACAACTAAGCACGACAAGTGCGCAAGATGTAATGTAATTTTCAATCACAAAAAATAACATGCGTAGGGGTTTACTTGACTGAATTTTAATTATAGTAAAACTCATCCTATCCTACGTTTACTAAGTACTCACCAAGACTGGTTCCCAGTGCTGTAATACATTGCCTTTGTTCAAAATGAACGTGAAACCCTGGGCTCCAGAGAAGGAAGGGCCGTTAACCACATGTAACACACCACCTTGCAAAATTTAAGATAGTTATATAGCAACATATCTTGAGCAGTGTAGATTTAGTCATTATTTGATTAATGTAAGGAAATTCCATATGCATACCTTGTTCAGGATGGTAGTGTACGGCGAAAACCCTTTCCCCAAATGCTTTGATTTCTCGAACGAGATGACCGTTAACAGAATCAAACTGTAGCACTCGGCTGTTTTCTCTATCCGCCACAAACAACCTACGGTTCTTCTCGTCGAGAGACAAGCCGTGAGGGATCTCGAATTTATTTGGAACTGAAAAAAGGAAGACCAATGATCACTGAGGTTTGTCTCTGAACCTTTTGAAATGCTCCGAGATATGTTCTAAAAGATAAAGTCTTTGAACCAAGTAAGGGTGAAAGGGAAAATCGATCTCATCAACAATAATTAACAGTTATTACTTCATGACAAGAAACATTTTAAACAGTTAAACACTGGGAATGGACGTAAATGTTAAAATCCACCACTCAGACAATCGTTTAGAGTTCTTTGGAAAAGAATATTGACCTACCAAGCCCTTGTAAGTTTTCATTTGTTAACATCAAAAGTACTTTTTTGCCGTCGGGGGAAAACTTTATTACCCGACTATTACAGTACCTGAAATGAAAGAAAAAAAACTCAGAATCAGGAAAGATCAAATAATAAATATCATACGACAGTCTAAAACCAGCAAATACAACGCAAAGAGTACACAAATCGAAACACCACAAGAGTGTTATAGTTTACCCGTCAGTAACAAAGATGTTTAACACCACAAGAGTGTTATAGTTTACCCGTCAGTAACAAAGATGTTTAACACCACAAGAGTGTTATAGTTTACCCGTCAGTAACAAAGATATTTCCCTCAGAGTCGACTGCGACATCGGTTGGTTTACAAAAATGACTTTCATCTCTCCCCGGAACAAACTGTGTTCCCAGTGTTAGTGAAGCTCGCTTTTTCTCCCCCGGAGGAAACTTGANGTACAATATAGGATGCAGAAGGAAGGCAGGTACAATATAGGCAGCAGGAGGAAGGCAGGTACAATATAGGATGCAGAAGGAAGGCAGGTACAATATGGGATGCAGAAGGAAGGCAGGTACAATATAGGATGCAGAAGGAAGGCAGGTACAGTATAGGCAGCAGGAGGAAGGCAGGTACAATATAGGCAACAGAAGGAAGGCAGGTACAATATAGGATGCAGAAGGAAGGCAGGTACAATATGGGCAGCAGGAGGAAGGCAGGTACAATATAGGATGCAGGAGACAGAAGGTGGTGGGGATGAGCGGAAAAGAGGTAGGGAAATTACGGGCAGAGATGGCAGGAGAGGGTGGACATCAAAATATAACGAGGGCAAACGGCAAAGGGGAAGTAGGAAGCTAGAAATTGAGGGAGAAAATGAGAATTTATGCAGCTGGTGAGAGGGAAGGAGGCCGTCAATGCAGGAAGTAACTGAAGCGGGAGCATAAGGAGTTAAATAGAGAACGAAAAGGGATGATCTGAGGATTACGGAATCGAGAAAGAGAAGGAGGGAGAATATGTGTCAATAATAATTGATAGATATGAACCAACACCAAACGAACATACTTACATTCTCTCTCCCCAGCTGTCAATAACTGTCCCTGTTTTTGGATCCAACTTCATCACAGTCGGTTCTGGAATGGGATCGCTTGTGGCGGAGAAGATATTGTGCTCATCGAACGAACTATAACAAGAAAAAAAAAAGGTCTTTAAGTTGGATTTGAGGCGCGGCATGTAATACAGTTAAAAAAAATATGCTGAGTTATCTCAAGGGCGCTTTAGACCCTTTCACCGTAACATCAGCAAGCATATTTTTCATATTGTTTGCTATACATTTCCAAAGGTGCCGATGACTAGGAACATTTTTAACGATCAAGAGCTTCTTTAGTTGGTGATTATTTCCTTTATTCTTGTAACCTTAATGTGTGATTCAGGGCTGATATTGTAAGGAGAAATTAGATGCTGGTCACTCTTAAGGGTTAAAGAGTTTAAACCGGACTTTCGTTGCAGACACTTACTCAGCTCGCCATGTTCTTGACGCTCGATGGAATATGAGCACTTTTCCTTCCGAATCAGTGTCGACTGCAGTAACTTGACCAAATTTACTCGACCGCCTCATGCCGTCAGCCAGCTTATTTCCCTGCCAACTCTGATCTTCTTCAAGTAGCGAAGGCGAACTCTTGTCATCGCAATTCGGTTCGCAGAATCCTGAAATTAGGCACAGCTTTATAAGATTAAACGGTATTACCTTGAGTACTTTCATCTTTCAACACTATGGCGAAGCAAGATCTGGTATAACCCAAACAAAAAATGGCAGAGATCACCAAAACCAACTCACACCCACCCGAAATGCCTTTTTCATACATCCAACATTAGATACTGACCATTCAAGTCATTGCTAGTCGCTTCTAGAGTACATACGAGGATAAGAAGAAAGAGTGAGATGGTAAGATAATTTATTACCACCTGGTTAAACCCTTTACAACCTAACATCAATATGCATACTCTCCAAACTGTTCTCTATACATTTCCTAGGGTACTGACAAGGAGAATTTGTCCAAAAATCAACAACTTCTCCAGTTGGTGATCATTTCCTCAACTCTCACGACCTTAATGTGTGATTTAGGGATGATATTGTAAGGAGAAATTACATGCTGGTCACTCTTAGGGTTAAGGCGCGCGTTACTATTCCTTATCTATGAAGAGATGAGATCTTCACATCCTTTATCAAATTAAATAAGCAGTCATTATTCTCAGCTAGTCTGGATGTAGTTGTTTCCTCCGACTTTCTCTTCATATCTCTCGTCCAACTTTTACTTTACCATGAGAAGTCCTGAATTAATGTAAATTGACTATCGAACTACCGTGTGAAAAGGGATTAGGGGGGAAGGGATTGCACAAGGGAGGAGGGGAGGAAGCAGTGCACAAAGGAGGCAGAAGGAGTAGAAAAAGGGACGGGGGAGGAATCACACAAGGCACAATGCACAAAGGAGGGAGGAAGTTGAGCACAAAGTAGGGAGAACGAATAGAAAAAGGGATGGCGAAGAGTTGCATAAGGGGGAAGCATTGTAAAAGGGGAGAGGAATTGCACAATGCACAAGAGAGGGCGAGGGTATTTACGAAGGGAGGGAGAAGAAAAAAACAAAGGAAGTGGGAAGGATTGCAGGAGGGAGAAGGGAGGAGTTGCACAAGGGATGAGGGAATTACTCCATGTTTGGGAGGAGAGCTGATCTTGTTTCTGAGAGTAACAAAACCTTAAGGTGAAGGATTAGATGGAATGGAAAAAGAAAAAGTTGACACCAGTTATTTAATATGGGTATGCTGAATGTGATGTTAGCTGGTCATCATTTCTAATTGTTAAATACATCATAAGAAAGAGGGAAAGATGGGATAACATCTTGATCAAATAAGACAGACAAACACGGTGATCATGCACGAAACAGTACGTTTATTCTTAATTGTGGTGCAATCTAACTTCAATAGAAGTTATAACAAGCCATCAGTGTTTTAACACTGATGATTAAAATTAGTTATAAACATAATTCATAATCCAATGGGTTTAAAATAAATACACAGCACTGGGTGCAAAAATATATTGTCGGTTACATTAATCTTTAAAATCATAGGCGTTCAAGTTAAAATTGTTAAATTCTCGTTAATTAGTTTTTTAAATAACATCGTTTATTAATATCTTCTTTCAAAACATTTTTCATCCAGTTCTTTCATCAGATCGCGCCTTTTAATGCTGATCACTTTCATCAAAGCTGGCCTGCGATTAAAAGAAACGAAACAAAAAAATCAGCGCTTTGTTTAGCTCGACCACGAGAAGGATTTTGCGGTCAGAGAGATGAAAGTGATGGCAGCAGAGTCAAGTGCGCAGAAAAGGGCAGATAAAACTGGAAAAATAGAAAAGCGCCAACCAACCACTCCGCATAGAACCCGAAACCACCCATGTAAAACCCAAAACCTCCTGGGCAAAACCCGAAACCACCCGAGCAAAACCTGAAAGATCCTAAGAAGCCTACTGAAAACGACTTGAAACCGAAACCCGCTAACAATCAGAAAATGGCCAAAACCCACTGCTAGCAGAGGCTTTATATACTGAAAAGCAAACGAAATAGAAAAACAGAACAATACGCGATCGACTGATAATCACGGGTTGAATTCACGTGCTAATTTCCAATAAAAACAAACAGTCTAAAGCTTCATTGTATCAACCACCTACTTTCGCCAAGGTTTCTTTTCATCTCCATTTTTGGTCCACTGCCCGGTAATGGGACATCAGAATCTGAGGGCAAGTCAAGCTGTCCCTCGTCAAGAAACTGACAAGCGTCTTCGATACTGGCACCTCCAAAGTCACTCAATTTCGGGTCATACCAGTACATCATGTAAAAATTACACATTTCGTCATTCATAGTTGCTCTGCAAAGTAAAGGGAATAAGTCAAAAAGTAAGCTGTAACTTAAGTGAGTGATGTACAACTATAGTAAACAATAAGCTACTTCGGAGTTCTAACCTTCTAGCTTCTGGAATGTGGCTTAGTGCGAAACTTTTCAAGTGATAATGAGTTGTCTTTGTGAAATAATGAAACATAATTTTCGATCTTAATGGCTTCGCACTCACTCCTATGTAACCTTAACGACATCTGCTTCTAATTTCTCTCTTCTGGAAACTATAAATGTCCTTGTAGAGAAATTTCCAATCGAGTTTCGAGGGTAATCAAAGATCACATTTGTTTTAATTTAGTACGCTGTGTAATTGGTCCAGATAACTCGCGCCATTCAATCAACCAATCAGATTAAAAACCAAAACCACTCGCACCTTTTTCACGCGCATTTTCCCGCGCTTTGAGAAGTCTGCTTAATGTGATGTTTTCCTTTCTTCTTATTAGCTGTTTGGTTTAACGACATTTAATTGAAATGCACTCTAAATTAACAGTATCTAGTTTAAAGGTAAATATACCCGATATCCGTTACTTGGTCTCTCTGCATGGAATTGTAAGTGCATCGGGCAGCCTGGCGATTGAGAGTATTTCAAATTAGACATCAAGGAAAACAACACAGGTTCTGCTACAAGTTTCACGAGGAAACAACTTCTGAGTCGTGAACCACATACAAGACACATAGGTTAAAACAGACACTTGTGAAACTAGCAAGAAAGCCGTGCGAAATGAGAGAGATGGAATACAAGATATTTAAAGGAAAGAATAGAATACGACGAAGATGCCAGAAACAAAACGAGAAACGCGCAAATTACGAGTGGAAACGAGGGAGAAGAGAGAGGGGCGGGAGAAACGAATCATGCGAGGAGAAGCCCGAAAGATGAGGGAAAAAAGCGCGAAATAGAGAGGTGTCCATTGAAGAGAATAAGGAGACAAACGAGGTGGAAAAATGGAGCGAGTATCGCGTTCCATCTTTGCACATACGTTCAAACTAGCTCCGTTTGTTGTTCACTGCACCCACGACCAAAGCCGCAACCAAAACAGGGACACAACATTTTAGAAAGAAAAACAAGGTCAAGTTTTTTTTTTTTTTTACCATAGAATCCCCGCTTCTTATCTCCATATCTTTATCCACTGGGTAAAATGCCTGAAAATGATTAAAAAGATAAATTAGGGCCAGAATACACTGGGAAATGCCAACAAAGTTTACACTATATCCTGTTAGTTGTGTGCAAGAATTCAACGTCCAGCCCATCTGAAGAATAAAACTCCTTTCAATAAAGTGTTTAAACTCAAAACTGAAAATGTATCACGCAAGAACACGGGCTACCGTAACCATCAAGCTTTCATTTTTTGGTTTACATAAAATCATTACAAAATGTGGTAGTTGCTTTTGTAAGCATGTGATAGTCGGTGGTCATTAATCTCTGATTTACCAAAGGTCGCTAAAAGATGACTTTACCTGTGGCCGCTGTGGATCCCCTTTCCCTATGAGAGTCCATTTCCCATCACGTATTCTGTAGCCAGTAATAACACTACCTGTAACAATTCCACAGTGAAAAAATAGAAATACTCCTTAAAATATACCTGCGTTCGCACATAATTACCGCATCATTCTACGCTTTGAGAACTCCGTAACGTAAACAGTCCCACAATGACCGAGGCTAAGCTTACCAAGAGAATGGGCGTGGACTCTGAAGGCAAAAGGGTGTAAGACTGGTCCAGAGCGGTAACCACATCCAGTGTCTAAATGCCAGGCTAAGTGTGGAAAAAGGACAGGTAAAGTAAAAAATATAGATATGATGATTTGCCGTACTTAGACTGGTCACCAGTTGGTAAAATAACGAAAATTAAAAGGTACAAGTAAAATAAATATCGTCTGTGTATAACTTGCCAAATGCTTTTGTTGAAACAATTTGCAGTTCAGCTCAGAATACTATCGACAAGGAATGTGTTTATTTCAATATGGAACAAGCCGACCTCGCTATAGATAGTCATCCGACATATTGACAACATACATGTACCACAACTTCTACCAATGAACACTATTCACTTGAAAATGGACTTCAGCCAACCATGCCTGCCTTAAACGGTCCTGGCCTTGATTACAGGGTTTCTAGTTGTGTGACTATTTGAAAGTGTGAACCAAGCTGGATAGCTATTTCAGAAAGGGTTGCTGTACTTTAGCAGTACGTGTACAATTTTCCCAAAATTAATTCAGCCTTCTCATTGGCAGATATATGATACATAATCAACTTTAATGCCAGAAGTTAGGGAGCATCAGCAATCAATTCGTGCAATCATGTTGTCTGGTTGTCCAGACAAAGGTTGTTCTGAGATGGGCTGTTGTCAGTAGTAGTGACTAACGTTTCGACAATCAGAGCGGAAGTCATTATCAGAATCAAGTGGAGAGTTGCTGTCTGTAGAGTGTATAAAGTCCAGTTGGTGCTACAATAATTTCAGTAGTTGTTTAAGCTTATCAGGCGATGTCAGCTGTCATTGCTCTTACAATGTAAAGATATGTGTTCAATTGGTCAAGTTGAGTACATTGAAACGATTTGGATAATGAGATAAATAACATTAGTCAACCTTTCTGCCTTGCAGGAATAAGTCCACCAGAGGCTAAAAGAAATATTGCAGCCAAATGACTAGGTCTGTGATAAGAAGAGAAACAAAACTGTAAGAATGGAGTTTAAAGATCAAATCACAATTAGACTTATTGTCATGGAAATGTTGGCGCATGAGGATTTTATCTCATTTTTGAGCAAGTTTTGCCACAGAGAACTTGAAAAAATGAAAAAGAAGAGGGGATTTGTGCCAAAATTAAGTCACATGGCTGAAATCAGTATCGCTATCAGGGTCAGGGAGTTTCTTACAGAAAATATTTGCTGTTACATCAAGTTGCCAGTGGATTTAAGATGAGTTTCATTCAGTTGTGGCTTTATTTGGCCCTAGTGTGAAGTATTAAGCTGTTTCACAAATCCAATCATGATATCATGAGAAACTTTCCTCACTAACAAATATAACAATGCTACATTCAAACAAATAGTAACAACAGCAATTAAGACACCTAAAACTACAAGCAAAATCACACACAAAAAAAAAAACTAACTGCAGGCTAGAAGAGGAATGATTATTTTAGACCAAAAAGTCACAGTGTTTGCATTGCCCCAGACAACAGGTCAGCCATTAACTGACACCAAAATTAAGATGCTGACAATTTTGATGGGTGAATGGGAAAGCATTTATGTACTTTGTTGGAGAGGAGACTGTCAGAAATAAAAAAACAGAAAGATTGAAGTGAAGAATATCTTGCAAACACACAACCAGTCCAATCTGGCTATTAAGCCACATTTTAGGTTTCAAAGTTCTTTGAAGGATGGTGTAATCACCATAGAAAGTGCAAATTTAAGAGTAAAATCCAGCTCTTATACCTAGATTAACAGACTTCATGTGGAAATGATTTCTTTGGCATCTCAAAGAGGAAAGTGAATAAGTCACCACATTATCACCAACTCATTTTGTTGGCAACAGTTTTATAATTACAAAGATTTGCATCAGACTGGCCATTGACTAGCCTTTTTTGGTGTTCCACCATGTAGCTAATACTAATTATGTTTTTATCTTCAACTTACTGCAGAAACAACTGCAGTAATTTTGATCTACAAGAACCTCTTAACTGATGAATGGAAATTTGACAACAGGATGAAAAGTCATAAATAACATTTTTAGATTTTAGAACTTTTATATGTATAGTTTAAATACCAGTCCTTCAATTGAATGCATTTTTGAAAATTTGTGGATTTTAGTTTATGTCATGTCCAAACAACATTTAGTTTCAGAAAACAATTTAGACATTTTAGTCAAAGAAAAGGAGAGAGCATTAGGCAAGTTATACACTTAATATCATGCAATAAAAAATTGATCTTTATTTTTTAAAACCTGAGTTTTACTGTCGCGTTTAATTTCTGAAATAAACATTTTATACTTTGAAGTTGTCACTTTAAAAATAGTTTACTTGTTTTATAGTGACTGATTTTATGTTATAATTCAAAATACATTCATAGTAATTTAATTCATTATTTCAACCTTGTTTTTTAGGTGGAACAAGTGACCAACTAACAGCCAGGATCTTGATGCCAGCCTTGTACTGCGGCCTACATGTAGCAGGAGGTGCAAGGGAATCTGTTTTATTTGTGACTATTTCCTCACAAGACAAAGTGGTAAAGAAGGGAACAAAAAGAAAGAGGGAAGGAAGCAAGCAAGGTGAAAAGAAGCAGAAACTGAAATGAAGGGATGATGTAGGAAAGACAGGGGGGTGAGTGAAGAAAAAAGAACAGGAGGGAGGGAAGGGTACAGAGAAAAAGAAGGAAGGGAGGAAAGGTAACAGAAAACAATCAAAGGAAACTATGAATAAGTCATGGACACATTGCATTTGAATGAGTTTTGAACATAATTAAATTCCAATGAGTGACTCCCAGATACAGTTGAAACTACTTGGTATTACTTTGAACTGCTGGGGTGATGTTGGGTGAATGGTCAGAATTCACATTTTAGCTATCGGTCAGTACAAAATAGAGACTGCAAACCGGGTACGAAATGCAGACTAGGTACAAAATGCAGACTGCAGAATGCAGATTGGGCACAGAATATAGACTGGAAATTTTGAAAACTGTTATTTTGTCAGACACTTGATAACATATGACTTGTCATCTTACAACTTACTGAGTGTCATGCAATTGCCTTTTAGCAATCACTTTCATGATCATTTGCACTATTTGGGAATATTCCTTTGCCTGTTTCCTTGCATATTTTGTTTTTAACAAGGTGACCACTGAATTCTGTTTTTAAAAAAGTGACCACAATCGTTCTCAAATAGAATTTCAAGCTGTCATATAGTCTTCTCATTTTGTGCGCGAGATGTCAGTATTGAGAAAAAAAGACAGCTTTTGTATGTGTTACGAACTCTTCACCTTTTAAACCAATATGAATATATTTTAAATTTTGTTGTCAAAAATGTGGACTTGGACCAAAACTGTTCCTTCGACTTGATATATTTTTAACGTTCAGGGGTGTACACACAATGATTTTTACAAATTAATGTTTGTGTAGTCACCAAACAGATCAGATGTAAAACCATCAGAAAAGTAAACAACTGGCCAGTCACGAAAACAATGTTTCGCATTCCCCTATAAAAATTCGCCGCTTACTCATTTTAGCGATAGATAACGATATAAATACTGACGGCTCACAGTGAGAAGAATGAAGGCTTGAAATTGTAGAGCAATTGTGGCCTGAACACTTTGTTAAAAATAAAACATGCCCAGCAATGGCATGGAATATTCCACAATAATGCAAATGATGGTGAAAGATAATCACAGAAAAGCGATTGCATTAAGCATTTTCAGCTCGCAGTGAGAAGAATGAAGGCTTAAAAATGTATTTAAGAATGACTATGGCTTGGACACTTTGTTAAAAACAAAATATACCCAGGAATGGCGAAGAATATTCCACAATAATGCAAATGATGGCGAAAGATGATCGCGGAAAAGCAATTGCATTAAGCGTCTTCACTCATAGTTACACCTTTAGTCTTTCAAAGAGCTTTAACTCGGTTACACATGTGCTAACTGCTACGAGTATTTTAATTAAACTCGAAACTCCTTTGAACAAAAAGGTTGAGTTAAATTTTAATGTTGCAGCATAATACTTTGGAAATGTGATAGAGGCATTCCCATATAATTTTGGAAGGTTGCTATCAAAATTATTGGTCTGCTGTTGACATATCGATTTGTTTACATCTGAGTAAGTGACACATTCGCATATTCTGCCCCATTCTAATAGTCATTTGTAAGCTTTGTGTACAAATGGCTATTAGAATGGCTAAATATGAAGGAAGAGAAGACGACAGAAAGAGAAATTTATGGGAGGGGAAGCAATCTTATAAAGCTATTTCAGAAAATAATAGCAGCCCATTTGTCTTTGATACAGCAAGTATTTGTTTTCTCTAGTTATTGGTACTTAAACCAGCACTTGGACAACACCAAGTCTTTTTACCTCAGTCTTCAGTTTGTGATTATCTTTCCATGACAACTAATAGGTTAAACAATGTATGACCAGCTACTTAAGGTGAGTTTTAGGTGTCACTCTGCCCTGACTCCTGCACTACCTAGGAAGCAATTAACCCATAAAAGTACTTACTGCACTCTTGTAGTTTGAAGATCCACTCCTGAGTAGTCTTTTAGAGAAGTATTTGCTGTGGAAAGTTCAAACATATACCTCAGATGCACACTCACAAGAAATTTTAAAAAATTTTTCTGTTGGCCTTAAATCCCTGTCAGGAGGGACATGAAGTAGACAGTTATCATAAAACTCACCCACAAAGTTGTCCACTTTTCCATAGTGAACTTGAAGTACAAGATAATTGACACCAACTTTGCCACCCACTTCAAAGGCAACATCTATAAAATCAAATCAACAACTGTAATTATCAAAGTCTACTGCAGTTGAAGAATTTGTGACCAAAAACATAATATATGTTCTTAACCTACATTTTCATCGTAAGTACTAAAAGAAGGAATGACCTAAAACCACCTACAACCATCTAAAACCACCTACAACCACCCACAACCACCACCTACAACCATATAAAACCACCTACAACCACCTTCAGAATACTATTGTGTGACAATTTGTGACAATTTAAATGCACACCGGAAATGTTGTCCCATGTCTCACATGTCATGACCAGGGAAAAACACCAAGAGAATTTTTTACTAAAACAAGGAATGACCTACCATGACCTACAATGAGCTACCGTGGGAACAAGGACTGACCTAAAATGATCCACAACGATTTACAATATGACCTACAATGAGCTACAATGACCTACAGGGAGCTATTGTGAGTGTTACGAAAAATTGTGGCGTGGCTTGCGTGACTTTCTAGCCCCATGATGGTGTGATGGCCTTTTTGTTTTGCTCTCTAAAAATATCAATGAGTTAAAGGTGTTGGCAGGCCAAATACATCTCATAGTCTCGCGGTGCTGTGATGTGACCTTATTAAGGGTTTTGATATGAAAATATCAATGAGAAAAAGGTGTTGACAGGCCAAATATGACTCATAGCCTCATGAAAGTGTAAAATTATGGGAGGCTTCTTATATAAGACCCTCAAAGACATCTTGAGCCAAAGGTTTTTCGCATTTTTTTATCATTATCGTCATTAGACATGTCTCATTATAATACACCGTAAATTTATCTCCAAGCTAAAAATTCTGTTATGTTAATGCACACATAATTCAAATACGTTACATTAATGCACACGTCTCTTGTTTTTTTTTTTCGCCTTTTTTCTAAAATCTTCATTTACTTCATTGCAGGGATCTTACAGTAGCTCACTGTAGGTCATTCCTTGTTTTAGTAACTACGTGTAAAAAATTCTCTTGTTTTCCCTGGTCATGACATGCGAGACATGCAACAACATTTCCAGTGTGCATTTACATTGTCACAAATTGTCACACAATAGTATCCTGAAGGTGGTTGTAGGTGGTTTTAGATGGTTACAGGTGGTGGTTGTGGGTGGTTGTAGGTGGTTTTAGATGGTTGTAGGTGGTTTTAGATCATTCCTTCTTTTAGTAATTATGACATTTTCATCTGCCTGACTGCCATTGTGTACAAGTAACAACTGCATTTGAAAGACTGCCTGTTAATGAATTCTTTTCAAGAAAAACAGATGGTTGACAAACTAGACACTACTGCTTACAAAGAATGCAAAAAGGTTTTCTTAAGCCAATAAACTGTAATTTGAGTGGAGGAATGTGTTTGGCAGGGTATACAGTGAGCCACTTCAACCCCCCCCCTCCCCCGCCAACACTCCATTACCTTTAGGAAGATATGTGATGTGATGATGATGACAACAGGAACAAGTTATTTCCTGGCCTTACCCTTTGGCAGCTTCAATACAGGAGCATTTCTTCCCCAAGCATACAATATTCTCTCCCCAGCACCACGACATACACCAGATCCCATATCACCGCAGTTCCTAGAAATTAAGAACTTATCTAAGTATTTCCATAAGGTCGTAGTAGTGGCAAAAATCTAAAAGCCATGGTAGTTTATCAATTTTCTTGTGCAGGATGTAATTCCCGTTATATTGGCGAAACTAGTCGCCACTTCTCTACTAGGATAAAGGAGCACATGGAGAGCGATAAAAGCTCACATATTTTTAAGCATTTCAACACATCTCCTTCTTGCAAGAACAAATACTCCCTTTCTTGCTTTAGTATTCTGGATTCTGCTAACAACTCAATTGATGTCAAACTCAAAGAAGCTTTTTATATAAATAAGATCAAACCTGAACTTAGCAAACAATTACAGCATTATACACTTTTCTTGCATTTTAGTTCACACCTTTGATGTTTGGTGTCACGTTGCAATTAGTACCTGTTTTTGTATTACATCATACTGTAAATATTTTATTCATCCACTTATCATCTACTCACATTCTGTTACTCATTGATTGAAGATGGCATAAGCATGCCGAAACATTTCTCTCAAAAAAGTTGTCTATTTCTTACAATTATCTAAGTATATATTTAATAAGCATTCATTTAACAAATTATCAATAGTCAACTATTGTTTAAAGCCTGTACTGCAATATTACAACACTTTTCATCACAATATTGCAACATTTAAACTAAGTTTTCTTTTAAGAATGTAAATAAACAGTACTGGGGAATAAAAGCTTTGCATATTGCATGTATTTATTTATTTTTAATAACTTTAATTGCACAACAACACTGTTTACATGAGATGACTTGATCAGAGAGCAAGAACTTTCAAAACATTTTGAGCAATACTCATACCTGGCTTTACTTTCTATAAATTAAAGCTCTTCTTGTCAGAATGGTGATCTGAGAAAATGTGATTGCACTGAATAAATTAAAAAATTGTCTTAACAGGGTACGTTATTAGAAGCAGTGTAAAGAGGAACCGGAAAGCAAAATCTTTCAACCAGTGCTTTCTCCTACAATGAAAGCCATGTGCCATAAAATTTACTACATTTTGGCCATACAAATTTTAATGCCTCTAGCATATCGACATTTGATTAAGAATTTAACATACCAATATTTTCCTTCACTTGCTAAAGCATTTTGTCCTGGTGTTGGACATCCAAACAATAACATATGATGTGCTGTGTGCATTTCAGCATGAGGTTTAAATCCAGCTGAAATGATTAAGACAGAAAGCTGTTAATTGTGGTGTTGTTCAGCTCTGTGCAAAGGTGTTTATAATGACATGGTTATGTTCTAACATTATAGAAATGTATGCCATATAATGTTCACCCCAGAGCTATGCTTGTCCAACTCCTCCCCGTTAGAACTGTATCCTATCAGCCTTTGTATCATCCTTCAATTTTCAGCTCTTCTTCATACATTTCACATCAACAACACTGAACTTCTTATCTATCAACAAATTCTTGGTAACCTGCCCCGTTGTATTCGTCCACAATGATTAATAATGCACAGATATTGTTTTAGAACCAAACCCTGATCTTTACTTTTTTCCTTCTCATCAAAAACTTAGTCTCAGTTACACAAAAGTAAAATTAATAATAAATATCCCACCTATGTATGTTTTCTTGTTCCTGAGATCCACAGCAGTACATAGGTAGGTATCATGCTGCAATATAATTATATTGTATGAATTGCAAACTAAAACTGCAGCACCCAATATATCTACAATATGACTGAATGACTGATAACCATCCCTAAAAAATAATTCATTTTCATTCATTCAAGAATTTCACATATCATGTATATATCTTAACATTATTTACAAATTATTTTTAAATTTAATGCACGTACAGGGCTCAACATTGATGGTAGCCCACTAGTCACAGACTAATAGAAATTCAGTTTTGGCCAGTGGTTTTCGATTTCCACTTGCCAGTTTGACTAGTAAACAGACTGAAATTGTTGTAACATCTAAGTTGTCACTAGCCACTTGACTAGTAAGTTGAAACGTTAGTGATGAGCCCAGATGTTATAAACAAGATTTTTCAATTCACATCTCTTGGTATAAATATCCTCTTTTTATCACTAGGATAAAGCTCTCCATTTCTATTAAATAATCTATGTTAATGGCACAGAAGTTGAACTGGTAAAGACTTGCAGGAAAGTTATTAATCAGATACAATGAATATATGAAGTTCATATATTTTAAACTGTGGTATTAAATACCTATGATGCAGGATCCTTCGCGGTAGATTGCGCTATTTATGCAATAGCAAAAATCAGACCTGAAAAAAATCAGGCCTGTACGGGATTCGAACCACTGACCTCTGCAATACTAGTGCAGTGCTCTACCAATTGAGCTAACAATTAAGCCAACTGGGAGCAGGCCGTTAAGTTGATTCGTAATAAACCCGTGATGATAAATGAGATACAATGAATGTATGAAGTTCATATATTTTGAACTGCGGTATTAAATACGTATGATGCACGATCCTTCACAGTAGATAGCGCTATTTATGGCCTGCTCCCAGTTGGCTTGTTAGCTCAATTGGTAGAGCGCTGCACTAGTATCGCAGAGGTCAGTGGTTCGAATCCCGTACAGGGCTGATTTTTTTCAGGTCTGATTTTCGCTATTGCATAAATAGCGCTATCTACTGCAAAGGATCGTGCATCATATGTAAAGTTATTAATATTGAGTAAAACAATATTTATTTGGTGAAATAAGTGTCGAGCTTTTCCACAAAAAAACAAAGCAAGCAAGCGTGATATAAAACAGTTTCTTCACGGTCATCCAGCACTTGAGTTATTGTTATCTCTTGTTGCATGAAGAAAGTTTAATTTTTCGGTGGTGTTTTGCATCACTTTGTCAAACTCACTGGATTTTTATTAAAAAAATAAACCTCTCATTCGAATTCACTTAAAATCAATCATATTTAGGTTGCGTAATTTTTTTTTCTCATTCCATTTGTGGTTCATACGGTTTCCAAAAAATAAAAAAAATCGCTCACACAAGAATAAATTAAGAGAAACAGCTGTACGGAAAATGATTATGCTAATTGAATGAAATATAATTGACAGCACATGAAAAGCTTAGCTTATGAATATGCCTGCGGTCAACTGCCAAATTCATTCGACAAACATCTCCTCCATTTTATTATTATTATTGTTGAAATTCAAGCTATTTGGTTAAAACGGAGAAACTGTTGTACTCACAAAGATCGAGGCTTTAAATCATTCTCTGTTAAACTTTTACGTACGATTTGCACTTTCGAGCAATTAATTTTGGCGCACAAACATGGAAAAAATTTCAGGACACGATCTTGACGTTCACAAAACTACTATGTACACTCTGTCTTTTCCTCTTTATGTCCTTCTATAAGATTCAAGAAAAAATTTTAAAAACTCCGGATTAGCTTTTCTTCAAGTGTAACAAGGCGAAATATATAAAAAATAATTAGCCGCCCATCGAAACCAGGTGATAGAAAATAACTGAACCATGGAAGACGATCGAGATTCGGATGAGTCGGGAAGATTAAGTGGAACAAACTAATCATTTCTTCCCGTAAAATGAATCCTTCGGGCTCGTTTTCAGCTATAACATCTTATAAAAAATTCTAACTGTTTCCAAAATGAAATTCCCTGAGATATCAACTCGAAGAGCTCGAAAAATAATCTGTAAAAGGGATAATTAAAGAAAGCACCGCTTACCTTCGTTGGATGAACGCCAGGCATGGTAAGCTTCAGTATTTCTGAAGATTTGCCTTCACTTTCTTGCTCTTTAACAGACGATCTTTGGTACAGATTATCGTAATAATCTCTCAACTGTTCATCGTAGTCTCCGTAGGAGATAGCCATCGTTATTAATGGAACGGTCCAAAAGAAAACGGAGGCGAATTTCCCGATCATTTTGATCTTGTATAACAGGGAAACAAAAATTAACACCGTTCAATTCCCTGTTCGTAAAATACCGTAGAATATCGTTGAATCCGAGAGCGCGTTAAATTCCCTTGATGTTCCACAACATATCTTCTTCTAATATGAAAAGGGAAACAGAACAATTCTCTGTTTATTAATTTGTGATCTACGAAGACACCCGCCAATGTACCCCATTCTACCCTTTGTTAGTTATGTATGCGAACTCTCATCGCGAAATGATGCAGTGGAGCGGAAAAAAAAATTAATCAGACAGACCTGTGATTGGTCCATTGTTGAAGGTTTCTCACCTGTGACAGCTGATGAGCGTAATCGTCAGCTTACGGGGGAATATCGAAGTGTTTTGATCGCTGTAAAAGTAGTTTCTTTTTTCGAATTTGAAATTAAAGACGAAACACTCTTCTAAAAATAAAAAATTGGGTGAAATTTTGCAACTCCTTAGCTGCTTGACCTTCCTAGATACGACGCAATTTCTTAGCTGTTTGATCTTCCTAGATACGACGCATAGCAAGCAAATGAGTAAAATACTATTTAGTATTTTCCTATGGCGTTCATGATTGCCCTGTATTCAAACTGTATTGTATTCTCCAATTGTTCCAAGCCATTTTCGGCTTTTGAGATAATTCGAAATTTATTTGTGACTTAAAATTCGGCTTCCAGATCGATATTCATCCAACAAAACTGTTTATACATCTGTATTCCCATCCCAGCTAACAAAAATCTGTCTCCTTCATCCATATTTCGACAAAGCAAAAGATAAAATACTTGAGCGCTCAAAACCCATCACATAAGTCTCCTTTCTTTTTATTCAATTCTACTCTGAAGTTTTTGAAGCATAAAATTTCTCCTCAACCATTTTGACTTATACTTTTTTATCTTAAGACTTGGCTGCCAAGGAAGCGCGAATTTAAACTTTGATTAACACGAAATTAGCTTCCGATATTTTCATTGAATCCTTATTTGCGTCAGCTAATCGCGTTTTTTACCCTGCGTGGTAGATCTCCATAGTTTCCCTCGATTTTTCGTCCAACGCCCACACACTCAGGATGTTAGGAAATCAGAAGATGCGAAAAAGCATGAATTTGAGTAGATTATGAAACAGAGTACGGATCGCTTTAACGAAAAAAACGCTGGTTTACGATCAATGTTTTGCACGAAATTATCCTTGGGTTTCACCCACGTGACCTGTCTAGTTATGTAACATCCCAAGGGGTATATCTCTATAAAAGAGAACACGCACTTCGAAACTGCACAGGGGACAAGGTTTACTCCGGGAAAGGAATACAGAATTGTAAGTACAATTAAAACATAGTTGTTAATAGTAGTAGTAGTGGTAGTAGTAGTTTATTAAACTCCCTTGCAGTAACTTACTGAATTAACCAGTTATGATACAATGAAAACTTACTAAGAACGACTGGGTACATTTCTGCATACATTAAGTACAAGTTATATACACTACACGGAACATACATCACATTTGTTAAAAACACTTAAAAGTTAAAAAGTCTTCGGTGCGCTTCGTTCTACAGGTAGTAACGTTTCTGTAAAGATACAACTGGTCTGATTTATGCCTGAGGTTATAGGGACAGATATCGTCTTAGCGTGTTGGTAGAAGAGGATGGAGAGGATGGTTTAAGTCCTTCATTTTGCACATATACTCTTTACATATCTTATCTCTTCTATACGCAAGGTTCTCCACCCGTGCTAACTCGAGGGCTTCTGAGTAACTATCGGTACATGGGAAAATTATCTTAAGCGCCCTCTTCTGTATGGATTCAATTCTGTCAGACAGATAACGTGGAATTGATTGCCATACTGGTACGGCGAATTGTTGTTTGAATTAGTTCAGGCACACTACGGCACAGTGCCTGAAAGCGATTGTAATTTGTCTATTTCAGTTTGACTCTATTTGCTTCTAGAAAGAAGGAGTGCAGAAATAAATTCCACATATTTCCCAAGCTGTTGAGGTCTAAACAATCAATTTGCCTTTGCAATAACATCGCCTCTAACAAACTCGCCACCACTGAGAGTCCAATCGCCACCACTGAGAGTCTAATCGCCACCGGTGGCGATATGACCAGGGCGTTATGTATAGCCTCTCGTATGAAACTTACCTTAAATGTACCAGTTTATTGCGAAACTCGAATGATATTTATCCCCATATCAGCTGTGCTCACTACCAGTGATATCAAACAGTTATAAACTGTTTATTAAGACTCATTGCAGCAATATACAAAATGGCTGAATTACAGAGCTATTTACAAAACATATAATACTAAAATATAATATAATAAATTCAATAATACTAAAAAGCATAATTAAACCATTCGAGCAGCTGATGCCAGTATCCATTATATTTACGCTAGGAAGGGAAACCTCGCACTTATATGATAGTGAGATTTAGACCCTCATAACGGAAGGTAACAGAAATACTCGACACTTCCTAAAATTAAAAACTTTAAGTTTATTTCAAAGAAATCGCTTGTTAACGTCTGTTGACCAATTCGTAAGTGTGAGACAAAACACCAACAACAGAGGCAAGTTAGCAGTTCTGTATGAAAAAATAGTTGGGTGAGCTACACTAATAATACTGCACAGCTGGAAGTCAAAGGAAAATTTTTGTTTCTTTTCTTAAACTTGGAAACATCTTCCTGAAAAAACACACTAAAACAGAAGCTGTGATTTTGGTACTCAACTGATCGACAAGGAGGTATCATTTTTTTCTCTCCAGAAAGGGGGAATAAATTATGACTACACATAATTTGCTTGTTGATAAACTTACCGGAAAAATGTGCAATAATGCCGAATTTCAAAAATAGTCCTCAAAATTTCTTATTCTTTTTTAATTTTCTTTTCTTTTTAACAATGAGGTATACTTTCTGAGTTGGATCTTTCCTATATCCTCATCAGCCACTTCGTAGGGACCCCGCTCCGGTGGAAATTTATCCTCTCCCCAACTTTCCTCTGTCTTGCAAATCCACGCTGGCGGTCCGACGCGCCAGAGAGTAGTTTTCGTACGGTTTCCATGAAACTGGTCCATAGAAGTGATTTTTTAGTCTAAAAACTGGGGTCTGAAGCTGAGACGTAATATCTTTTTCTGTACAAAGGGGCAAGTATAGTTTCCAATTTTGATTTTGTGAGGTGGACATGTGAACCTAGTTGAACTGATTTTCTCTTGGTATCACCAAAAGCAAGTTATAGGCATACATCTGACAACACATGATTTCTTAGACAGAATGTCCCATAGAGGTCCTTGCTCCGCCTTAAATCTGATCACAGGTAAGGTACAACTAACGCGAAAATATAAAAAGGTAGTTCTTGGGAGTTCCTTTTAATATCGATCAGTTTCATCTGAGCTCACAGCTGACCTGCAAACAAATCGAATAATGACGATGAAACAAAAGTTACTGCTCTCTTTACCATGACCTGATGATATTGGCTCAGTGGTCGGGAAGATTAAAGGACAGCATGCATAATTTAAAGAACAATTTGGATATATCAACAAAGTTGAAATGGTAAATTGGCCACCGTAATGATTACAAAAGCTGACGTTTCGAGCGTTAGCCCTTCGTAAACAACCCACAATTCCTCTATTCGCTCCGACGAAGGGCTAACGCTCGAAACGTCAGCTTTTGTAATCATTACGGTGGCCAATTTACCATTTCAACTTTATCCGTATATGTGCACGATCCTTCGCAGTAAAGCACCATTTAAGCAATAGAGAAAAATCAGACCTGAAAAAAATTCAGGCCTGTACGGGATTCGAACCACTGACCTCTGCGATACTAGTGCAGCGCTCTACCAATTGAGCTAACAAGCCAACTGGGAGCAGGCCACCAAATTAATTCTGAATTTTTTTCAGGTCTGATTTTCACTATTGCTTAAATGGTGCTTTACTGCGAAGGATCGTGCACATATACGTTTCATAACCGCAGTTCATATATATGTATTTCATATGTTTGTTGTTTGATTTATCATCTTACGGGTTTATGTCGAATTAATTTGATGGCCTGCTCCCAGTTGGCTTGTTAGCTCAATTGGTAGAGCGCTGCACTAGTATCGCAGAGGTCAGTGGTTCGAATCCCGTACAGGCCTGAATTTTTTTCAGGTCTGATTTTCACTATTGCTTAAATGGTGCTTTACTGCGAAGGATCGTGCACATATACGTTTCATAACCGCAGTTCATATATATGTATTTCATATGTTTTGTTTTTTCATTTCAACTTTGTTGATATATCCAAATTATTTCGTTACTCCCACCGACGCAGCCCCAAACAGTTTCTTTCGAAACTATCAGCCTTTATTAATTTAAAGAACTGCCTGGAGATGAACTGGATATAGTAAACATGACCACTGACCTGTCTTCAGAGTATGGCAGATGCACGCATGATTTTTTCCTGTCTTGCTACACATTTCTCGCTAAAGAATCCGTTTTGCATGCACAAGACTTTGTTAAGTTCTGCCATACTCTGCAGACTGAACCACTGAATATGAAATATTTTGTACAGTTCTACTTTAAATTACTGGTTGCTGTGCTTAATGTTCCGCACAAAACCCAAAACATACCGTGCCTCACCTGAAACTTCCTCTATGTCATTAATACGAATTGAAATGTCCCATACACTAGCTAATCCCACCCTCACAGCTTAAAACATGGTATATACAATATCAAAACTCTTTTCACTCCACACCCACACAGGTAAGTTTTTTGAGGATGAGAATTTTTTCTCATAACTTTTAGGTAACAATGTCTTGCTGGGGAACCACTTACCCATACTTTTGTCAAGGTTTATTTCATTGCCAGTTTTGCTCTTTTAGTTGGTAGTGGAACATCAGAATCTGCTGGGTAATCAAGGTACTTTGGATCCAGAAGCTGACAGAAGTCTCTGTGATTGCTGGCTGCCTTTCCTTGTTTTGGATCATACCAGTACATCATGTAAAAATTGCACATTTCATCTTCATGGGTTAATCTGGTCACAGAAATAGAGATAGAATCCCTTAGTTTGTGCAAGTAAATACACTTCTAAGTTAAGTACTCAAAACATCAACTTAAGAAACTCTCTACATAAAACATACATACATAAACTTTATGTATACTCAAGTTTTAGAGCGCTAACAAGGCAATATCTTCGAGCCTAGACAACAAGTGCTTGAAAATCCCCACTGGCAGGAGGAAGACCATTAAGTTATTTAAAAAGTGCAGCTGGGGAGTTGAACTTGGGGCTACCGAGAACAAATCCAGTGAGTAGCAGGGTGTAGGACTTGAACCTAGGACATTGAACTACAAGTCCAGCACCCTACCACACTGCCACCAAACTACGTGGCCAAGCAATTTACTTTATCAACTCTTTTCATGAGACCAAATTATTTTGTAATACCCTAACTAGTTCAACACCACAGTTCCTTTTCCCTAGTCTGGTCTGGTCTGGTAAGATGATGGTCACAATGATACTAAACAAGCATACCCTGAGTGTGTTACTCTGTTTCTCTGCATTGAATTGAAAGTGCAACGGGCAGCCTGTAAATAACGATTATTTTATGCTTTAACAAAAAGAAGCAAACCTAATCTATGTTTCTAGAAGCACATCCAAAAAATTCAGTTGTAAAGTCTGAAGTTGGAGATGCACCACACATGGGACAAAATGAATGAAATTTACAAGAAATGAAAAACAAGAGGGTGGATATGTATGGTTGGGAAGAACAGGAGAGGTGACAATGGAGATCTGGAGAGTAAACATGAGAGTCGAGTGCTAGAGAGGTGAGGAGATGGAAAAAACAAGGCAGGAGACTTAAAAGATTAGGTAGGAATTATAGTTTCTTTATACTGTTTAAGAATACCAGTGCTTACTATAGTGTCTCCACTTTTTATATCCACTAGATTATCAACTGGGTAAAATGCCTGAAAAATTAAACCAAATATGAGATTGTAATGAAATAAACCATTTGTTTCCTCTATAATTCTGTTTACTGTGTACAGACTTTCAGAGAGGATCTTTGAGAGTGGATGAATATTTACTTATCAGTGCCAAATTTCCTACAGGTGATGGGTAATTTATACAAACTTGAAATTTATATTTTTACTTTACATGGAAGTCAATTATGCAACTGCTGAAGAATTAACTTACCTGTGGTCGCTGTGGATCCATTTTACCTATTAGAGTCCATTTTCCATCACGTATTCTGTAGCCAGTCACTACCGTCCCTGGAGCAATTCCAGAATTAAGCTCAACTTAGTATGCAAATATGATATCCAAACTTTACACCAGCATCCTTAAATCTTTTTAAACTTGAAAAGTTGTTTTGAATCAGTTACTTTTCTCTTAATTTATACAAATAAGTGTTTTCAAATTAACAGGTTACAAGGCACAGAAGTGGATTTACAATCAAATGCCAGCATTAATATCATTAAATCTGAAAACCAGAATTCAAAACCTTAAAAGAACGGAGAACCACACACAGAAACATCGCCAAAATATTTTTAGAGACCAGAAGAGTGATAAGTGATAAACAGAATTCTTTATCTGTCACAAAGGTACACTGATTGAAAGAATCCCTCGGAAGACCTTGGATTTCAGGAATCCCTCTCAAATAATTTTTGAAATACTGAATTTGCCAATCTTGTTCAGTCTGTAAATTTTGCCCATTAATAATCATTCATCTGCAAATTATCAACTAAAAAACATCTGTAGCAACATGCTACATATTCATGACTCATATGTACCATTATTCTAAAAGGACTTTAAAATACCCTTAATACCCCTAAAATACCCCTAAAGGAACATAAAAGGAGTCACTTGTAAAGGGAATTCACTGTTTATGAACCCTCTGTTAGCCCTATAAACCCTTCACAAACCCTTCAGAAACTTGATGCTAGTCATACTAATGGGTAAAAGGGGAAAAAAAGAAAACCCTTAACCCCAAGATGGGAAAAACTTCCCTCCTTCATATGACTGGAAACTGAATATGGTCTAAAATGTTATCAGCACAGTGGAACTCACCGATGCCATGAGTGTGGACTCTAAAGTCAAAAGGATGTAAGACTGGTCCATCATGATATTGACATCCAATGTCAAAATGCCAAGCTGGATAAAGAAGAAACACAGTATTTAGTTAAAAGGCAGGTGATCTGCTGAGCAGGCAGGAGAGTGACCTCAAAGATTTTAGTTTACCTTTCTTCTTTGGTGGAATGTCTCCAAATGGTTGTAAGAGAAATACAGCAGCCAGTTGACTGGGTCTGTGAAGCAAAAGTGAGAAGCAGAACCACTGAAACCTTGGGAACAGTAATGAATTTTTTTACTCATTTGTTCATGTTGAACTTAAGAAGGTTTCATTTCACTTGATTATTTAGATTTCCCATTAATTCTTTTCCACCAGGACTAGGAAGAGAATGTAAAAAGTATTGTGTCATGGCTGAGGTATGGTTTCATGGCTGAGATTAGGAATGTAGAGGCTAGGTTTAGCTAAAAGTCACTTCAAACAAGTACCTACAGTAACTGTGACAGCTAACTACATGCAAATTATTTTTAGGAAGAACAAATTACCACCCTAGGGCCAGGAGGTAATGAATTCATTTCATAGGTTCATAACCTTTTCCAATTATAATGCAGTAAAGGGAGGAGAAGGTCAAGAAAAGAAATTGAATTGGAGGGAAAGACAAGAAACCACATGAAGATCTGAGGGAGGGGAGGGGAGAAAAAAAAGAAGGGAAAAAAATAAGGAAGAAAAAGACAAGGAGTAATTGAGAAAATTAATAAACTTTTTCCTCTTCATATTTTTGTTGTGGCAAGTATTAATGTTTTTTGATTTTGCTATTGCTCAAAGCTGAGTTGGTTGAAGCATGAAACAGACTTTACAAACTCCAACATTATGATGTTAAATGTTTTTTCAGTTCCCCCTATTTGCACTTATAAGTTTTGAACAAGGCTTACATTGTTGCAACACCTTGAGGAACTGAAATAATTTTCAACTACAGTTACTCACCGTACTGACGTCATGTGCAATTCTGCCCCAGCGTAATCTTTTAGAGTAGGATCAGCTGTGGAGAGGTTGAACAATCAATATTACAAGTCAGATAAGGATTGATTTTAGACCATGAGCTCCATCTAATCCCAGTTATCAACAACTGGTTAGAATCCCCTGTCCCTTAAAAAGCAAGTTTCTAAGTTATAGATTTGATATTAGAAGATTCATTAACACAGTCCTATAGTAAAGAATTTGAATATATGAAAATCATGTATGTGTACTGCGGTTTCATGAAATGTACAAAAGTGATCCTCACAGTAATGAACCCTACATATGTAGTAATAATAATAGTAATAATAAAATATTTATATAGCGCCTATCCTTTTTAGTGCTAAGCGCTTTACAATGCTTTTAAAGGGATTAAAATCGTATAACTATACATAATGACAAAATTACAAAATGGAGAACCTAGGATAGTTCATAAACTTTCATAAAAAGAAAGGTCTTCAAACTAGATTTGAACTTGTTTACATCGTCGATTGAACAAATGTCAAGAGGTAAATCGTTCCAAAGTATAGGGGCAATAACTGAGAAAGCCCTTAAACCATATGTCTTTAAGTTATAGGGTTTGATAATAAGACGCCACTTGTCTGAAGATGAGCGAAGGTACCTCGTAAGTTCATAAACATGAATTAGGTCAACAAAATAATCAGGAGCTAAATTCTTGAGTAACTTAAAACAAGTAAGATTAATCTTAAAGATTATTCTTTGCTCCACCGGCAGCCAGTGGAGCAAAGAAGTAGTGGAAATAAGGCCTCAAATAAAATTCAGGCTTGTATGGAATTTGAACTTATGACCTCTGTGATGCTGTTGCAGGGCTCAACCAACTAAGCTAATGAGCCAACTGGGAGCTGGTCATTATGTTGGTTCATATTAAACTGGTTCAAGTGATGACAATGAATTTGAATATGTGAAAATCATATACCCATCTGTGTACTGTGGCTTCATGAAATGTATGAAAGTGATCCTCGCAGTAATGAACCCTACTTATGTAATAGTGGATATAAGCCCTGAAAAAAATTCAGGCCCATACAGGATTTGAACCCATGGCCTCTGTGATGCTGGTGTAGTGCTTGAACAACTGAGCCAACAAGCCAGCTGGGATCTGGTCATTACATTGGTTTGTCTTGAACCCATCCAAGTGATAACAATGAATTTGAACATATCAAGATCATATATGTGTACTGTCGTTTCATAAAATGTATAAAAGGGATCCTTGCACCCTACTTATGTAGTAGTTGAAATAAGGCCTGAAAAAAAACCATGTAGTTTTTACCAGCTGTAATCTAGGAAACAATAAAGATGGGGAAACAAAATCATAAATGTAATTGTAACTCTCAAAAAAAAACTGAAATTAAAAGACTGTTAAACTTAGCATCTGCATTTATTTGCCACCAAGAAGGACCTGAAGGAAACACCATTGACCAAACATGAAACTCACCTAAAAACTTGTCTACACTTGCATAGTGAACTTCAAGGACAAGGTAACTATGATCAGATTTGCCACCCACTTCAATGGCAGTGTCTAGAAAATTAGCAACAAATTCTTCAGCAGGAGTTGAAGAAATAAAAAATTTAAATTAAGAAATTCTCCAAAAACATTTAATTTTTGATTGCCACAACATTTATTTGTACTACAAGAGTCTTTTAGGTGACTTTCGAATGACTTTTTCTCTCAGCGTATTTAATGTACTATCTCAGATCAAAGATATATAACATGCAATTACCAGGTATTGTTGCAGAAGTTGGTAATGGAGAAAGAGGTTAAGAAATGCCACCACATCACAGTGAAAATGGCATTAAGCATTCCTATTATTAGTAATGATGAAAACACCACTACGATATAGGTGAATATTGACATGCAGTACCAGGTGGTAAGTCCAACTCTGGGGCATTTCTTCCCCAAGCATACAGTATTTCATCAGTAGAACCATGGCTGCATTTTTTGAGTCCACTTTCTCCACATGTCCTAAAAAAAAAAACAACAAAAAAATTGTATACTTAATTAACAAATACCTGTTATTGTATTAACTGAGAACATTTACAGCAAACAAGAAGACACAAAGCCAAAAACTATTTTGAACTCCAGTAATTTTTATACTTTGTGTCACTCAAAACCCTCCATGGCTAGTTATGAGTCAGAAAAAGTAATTACGTTATTTATGATAAGGTGAATTAAATGTGCATTTTGATTGGTTTGTGTCACCATGCATCACCAACATTTTGCTTTTTTTTTATATAAAACAAATTGATTCTAATTGCATGTTGCTGTGGGTTTACAGAGTCTGTGGAAATAACGGCAACATACTCAGCGACACCTCGTGTGCCACCATTATGGTTTTACCACATTTTGACATTATCTGCCATATATTACTGAACACATGCACAGAAACATGGAATTCATTTATTAATTTTACAAGTATTATCCTCAATAAGATCTGTACTTGCATGGCAAAACCTACTGAACCAAGCTTTTCTTTGCTACAATTGAAGGCCATCTGCAAAACATTAGTTATCGTAAGAGCATTATTGACTTTATACTATCCTTTAATCAACATACCAATATTTTCCATCATTAGCAAAAGCATAATTTGCTGGCTCTGAGCATCCAACTATCATCAAATGGTGGACTGTGTGCATGTCAACAAGGGGTTTAATTGCAACTGAAAAGAATGCCAAATCATCAGTGACACATTTCTGCCTGTTTTCCATAGTGTAATGATGTGTAATATTAATTTTGTTTAAATAATTATTGATGCATTTTGATGTGAAGTCAAACACATTTTCTTTTGAAAAGTATTGACCCTAAAGTGCTTGAAGATTTTAGGTCTCTTTGATAAATGTTTGTTAAAAGAACGGGAACTGCATGATCTACCGATTTATTTTTAAAAAGAAAATAATTAGTCAGTATCTTTGTGTATTAATTTTTTTACTATAGGAAAATTAGAGCTCTGTTAGACATAATGTTATGTACTGTAAAACACTCTACCAATATATTCTTCCTTTCTACGGAGATCCACAGCAGTACAGAGGTGCATGTCTTCCTGCAATGTGGAATATTTTGTGCTCAATAAGTTGTGGCAGCTATGTATGATGCATGCATTGTCAGGGCTTGATGCTAACTTTTCAACTTACTAACCAAGTGGCTAGTGACAACTTAGATGATATGACAATTTCAGTTTGTTTACTAGCCAAACTGGATTGTGGAAATGGAAAACCATAAGCCAAAACTGAATTTCTACTAGTCGGTGGCTACTTGGCTACCATTAGTGTCGAGCCCTGATTGTTATTGATGTGGTTATAATGCTAATAAAAATTGTGATAAGCTATAATGCTAATAAAAATTATCACACTCAAGTTACATGTTGGTGATATTTCTTTTCTATTTCAATGGTTTTTAAAGGAACCATTTGTTTTGAGTAATACTCTTAAAAGAACGGTTTTATGATTGTCAAGTCAATACCATTTTGGGTGAGAGCAGAAGCAAACTGCTTTGAAAGGATCCACCGCAACTTGGGAGCAACTTCAGAATACCCGTCCACCTCATGTACATGTGTCAGAACTTTGAAGAATGAGGCATAACATGATAGACCCTATTCTTATTTAATGACGTGTTATTTAATGACATGCTCTATCCATTGA